TCAGACAATTGTCAATGGTGTGGCCAACCAACCCTCTTCAATTTGAACTGGGTGGATTCCCATTTCATGACCTCATATCAAATGTAACAAGTTCACATTGGACAAATGCAGGAAATGGGTCAGCTATGAGGAAATAGGTCAGACACGCAAGCACACACACACATGGGTGCTACCCTCCTCCCCCTCCTCCGCCTTCTCAAACTTCCCCAACATATGAGGGTGGATTATACAAATTAGACAGAAAAGTTTATAACTCTACTAAAAATTGTTAGACAATTGAGATGAGATGGCATTTGTTTTTCGTTTTTATTAACAGCGCCCCCATGAACATGATTTTGCCAACAAAAACACTTTTTCCCCCGGAAAGTTTTGTTTTTGTAAATAAATTGCCAACATAAAAATCACATATTCATCCAGAGAAAGAAACAAAAATAAATAAAGAAAACAAAACTAATGATGCTTGAGAAGGGAGGATAACATTGGGGGGAGGTTAAAATGGAGTTTGTTTGGCAAAGAAAAACCTATATCTTTATTAAAAAAAAAGTTAAGCAAACATCTTTAAATGCTCTAAAGATTTCCAACTTTTCTTTTTTTTTTCATATTTTTGAAAAAAGGAAAATATCCCCCCCATACTTTCGTTACACAGTCCTATAAACTATTATGTTTTTTATGCAAATGCCTAGAATTTCCATAGAAATTCCTCGAAGAAAATTTATGCTGGCGAGTTGGTTTCAAGTCCTTTGGTTTTGGTTTGCATTCGATTCCATTGTTTTGTTTACATTCGAATGCCAACAAGTCTCTGTGTTTATTTGGCGCCAAAGAAACCATTAACCAACAACCACTCCTTGCATACGTCATATTTTTGGTGTGCAGAAAAGCCATTATCACCATCTATCCCCTCGCCCCCTCCCACAACATGCCACCATTCCCAAGCCCTGCCATGGAAAAACCATTAACAACAAAAATAAAAAAACACAAAACTTATATTTAAGGATACTTGCAGCATGTGAATGTCGTCACCTAGTCTCCATATCGTAGACGGGGAAGGAACAGCAGGTTGGCCATTCGTGAGACATAAAGAAAATTTAAAAAAAAATACACAGATGTACAAACAAGACTAAATCCTGTAGGACATGAGAGAAACCAATGATTAAATATAGCAAAACTATGAATAAAACAAATATTATAAAACTAATTTGAATAAAATGCAAATTTTTAAAGGCTCTCTCTGGGGAAGTTTTTTAAAGGAATTCGATATGTGAGATACGTTTCAATTTTTAATAATGCAATAAAAATAATGCATAAAAATTGGAAAGTTTTTAAATATATGGAGATAGTTTGTGGAAGAGAAAAGTGAGTTTTATGGCAAAGAAGGGAGTAGAATGAGATAAACTTGACTTTCCTTCGGTCCAAAAACTTAGCATTCTTTCCACAAACTTTATACGATTTCATTGGAAGGAAAGTTGATTACAAAAGTCATTCACTTTTGGTAAATTTCGTGAAAAAATAGTTAGTAATGGGGGATGAGTATATACACCCTGTAAAGCATATATCGAAGCCAAAGCATATATAGATAGCCTTCGAAAGGCCGGAATATTGACCTTAGAATATATATTTTTCTTATAACACTTTTGGGATACATAAAATTTTCCAATTATGCTAAAAATTGCACTTAAAGTAATCAGATTATTTTTCTCTCAAAGAGAAAATGTTCACCATTTATTTGTACTTATGGTAGGGACAAGAAAACCACGGTCGAGTGTCCGCTCGAATTCAGTCCGTTCATATTTGAAACTATTTGCATATTTGGTACTTTGGTACCATCATTATCAAAATACAAAAAGCAGATCTTGCATATTACGACCTTTTATGATTCTATCAATTTCATTATTTAAGATAATATTTAAAATATATTTCAAAATTTTGACTCTTTGACTCAATAATACTAAAAATGTCCGGACTTATATAATCCCTTTGCAACATAAATTATCCTCGTGAAAAAAGTCAAACGACTAGCTCCTACAGATCGATATTGTACCTTTAGGTACTTTATGTACCTTTCAGGTACGAATTTCAAGAATCCTCATCTAACTTCTTCTAGAAAATAGTGTCTCTCATGCGAAACTCATCCTTTTTCCAAACACTCAACATCAATGTCGAACCCTGACGTACATTTCATAACCTCTGAAGTACTAATTCCCCCCAAAAAAAATACTCCTTAAATCACCAATCCGCACGAAAAGTGATCCTTACGTAAAATTTCAAAGCTCTAACTTAAAAAGGCGTTTTTTTGCCCTTTTTCATACCCCAAAATCACGACTTTCCAAAAGTCCCGCTTTATCAAAACTTTTCCCATCATCAGTTATTTTAGAATTCTAGCTGAAGTACTTCGAATTTAGTATTGGTACTAGTTTAGTACCCAAAATGCACAATTTTTTAAAAATAACGCTGTCAGACAAAACTAAATTTCAAAATTCCGAATTTAAGCCCTAACAGTACAATATTTGGTACTTTTGTACTAAAATTCCAACCAACTGAACCTTTTCATATTTTTTGGGCCATTTAAGCAAAATGGCATTTTGGCTCCAAAACCACATTTTTGTGCTAAGTACTATTTAGTACTCATTTTTTGTATATAGAACTTTCTGGTACAAATTTTCACACATATTGCACGCACATCACACTCAAAGTGACTCCATTAAAAAATTCAAGAATTCTAACTGCTCTTCTTCATATTTATTACATATTGGAACTGTTTTCGAACTAAAAAAGTACGATTTTGGAAAGTGATCCCCGCAAAAGGTTTTTCATTGTTAGACAAATTTAAATATTATATTTCGGAATTATTGGTCTTGAAGTACAATATTTTGTTCTTTCAGTTCCCTTCACTACCGAAAATTTCCACAAACGTCACCACATCCATAGTGACCTAAATACACATTTTGAATATTCCAGACTCCAAAAAACGTACTTATTAGTTCTCTGCTATCAATAGTAACCTACATATACATTTTTAAAATTCTGGTCTTAAAAGAAGTAACCCAAATGTCCATTTTCAAAATTCTGACCTTACAATTATATAAATTTAAACCCCAGTTTCCAGTAGTTGGCAGCACGAATTACCAAGAACCTTAAGCTAAAAAATTGAAAATTCTAGCCTTTCTATTCTATCCTAGAATTATAGAATTTTAACTACCAGTTGTCAGTACTTTTTAGTACCTTTTAGCACGAATTTCCAAAAAGCCGCCTTGAGTTAAAAAAGTACAATTTTTAGTACAAATTTCAAAAAGCACCACCTTATCTTCTATCAATAGTGACGTTTATTTTAATTTGTAAGACTCTACCCCTAGAAATGTAAAATCACATTTTAGTACTTTTTTGTACCTTTTAGCAAGTATTTGTTTTTTTCCAAAAACGCCGACCCACTACTAATTACTTTTATGCGAAATTTAAAAAGGGCATTGGTGAAGCGATCTGTTTCCAATCTTTTACAATTCTTTGTATAGATAGACCCTGAGGCGAACATGTCAAGTGGTTCTAATTCACGTTCACAGATCCATACATTTTACTGTATTATTTTTTTTATTTATTTATTTATTTATTTTTTTTTTTTTTGAATTTCAATCAATTGCTGGAATACTGTCATGGAAATCGTCATGCATGTGAGGCGGCTTAATGTCCCTTTTTGCAATTTCAAAGCAATTTATAACACACGCTTCCACCCTTATCGTTTCGGTGTTTTTTATTTTTTTCTTTGCATTTTAAACATTACATGTGACATTTGATTTAATGGCAATTCAGGCAGCCGAAACCACCTATCCCAATTCAAAGCCTAGAATCTTAATGTTACTGTTGTTGTTGTTGTTGTTTTTGTCGTCTACATCATCGCCAGCATCCGTAAACTATCACTTGTCACTGGTGACAACACATGGCTGCTTTAAACAAAAGTAGCAACAACACAAACAAAAGGAAAAGTGTGCCCAGTTGGAATAGAGAGCTTAACAAAAAAAAAGTACAACAGCAAAAAAAAAACCTAGCAGACGATACGTAACATCTACGTAAATACAAAATAGAAATTTATGTATGTCTACGAAACTAATTTATACAATATTATTTTTTCCACTTTTTTAAGTTTTTTGTTTGTTTTATTTTTTTTTATGTAACACATACAATTGCAATTACATTTTATTTGTATGCTTGTAATAAATAATGGCGAAAACCTTGGCATTGGATTTTTTTCGTACCCAGCAACCGCAAAAATAATGCAAAAAAAACAAAAAAAAAACAAAACTAACAGCTCTACAACTAACCGATCAGACTGGTTTTATTTCACTTTAATTCAGCCCCTACAATAAAACAGCAAAAAAAACTCTCGATCATGTACCCGACTTTCGAGCCGCCAAACCACAAAAAATGGGCCACTTACATACCCCTATTTACATACATATTTACATAAATAATTGAAATGAGGCGGATATTTTATTTACATTTATAATAAATCTTTTGCATGATTAGATGGAGGGGGAGGAGGAGAGAGCGACAAAAACCGCACTTATTTAAATCCACAAATATAAAATACTTATGGTCTGTATGGCACAAAATTCATTTGTCAATGTTTAAAGTGAAATGTCACCGAAATGTTGTCATTTCCTTATTTGTCGATACAATTCTCAGATGAACATGGCAAACGTGTTAATTTTTTGCATTTTTTCAAATTACAAAATAATCGAAAACTTTCCGTAAACATTAACTTTTGAGAAATTAAGTTGGAATGCTAAAGGAAATAACGAATAAAGGAGACTAAAAATGACCAATAATTTTATCAAGCTAAAGGGTCAATTCAGCCTTTAGGCTGAAATATAGCCTTTTTAAAAGACAATTCATACAAAGGACACTCACACACATATATCTTGCATTTAGAACAAGATATTTATAAAATAAAATATTAAAATTTATTATTAATTTTTTAATAAAAAAATTTATTTTTTCTTTCTTTCCAGCACAATTGTTGACATTTTATGCAATTTTCTATGTGGTCTTAGCTGGTCTATTCACAATTTGCATGCAAGGCTTGTTCTCGACACTCGATGAAAAAGAGCCCAGATGGAAATTGGACAAATCACTGATTGGCACAAATCCCGGCTTGGGCTTCCGTCCCATTAGCGATGACACACAACGCGGCTCTGTCATACAGTTCGACACCAAAGTCGATGGCGAGAAAAACTATTGGATTAAATTGTTGAACGATTTCATGAAGAGTGAGTTAATGATTTTTTAAACAAAAAATATTACAATAAATTTCTTCTTCAGGTTACAATGACAGCCAACACACCGGCAAAGTGTGCTCCTTCAATCAGACCCACAACCCTGAAGATGTCTGCACTGTGGATATTGAACAATTCGGCAGCTGTTCGCCCAAAAATGCCTACGGCTATAACAACTCACGTCCCTGTGTTTTCTTGAAATTGAACAAAATCTACGATTGGGTACCTCAATACTATGACAATCCCGCCGACTTGCCCGAAGATATGCCAGCCCAATTGAAAGAACACATTAAGGCTGTTCCAGAACATGAGGTAAATACGAAGAAGGCTAAGGACGTTATGGAGTGAAAAGGGCAGGCAACTAAGATCCATTAATAATTCAAATTTCATAATATCAAGCAACAGCTTAGGAAATGTTTTAGATATGACCCGGAAACTCTTCATAGCTTTAAGACTTTGCCTCCAGATTTCTGGACTTTTGGAGAATTTTGGCAAGCCAAGAAGGGCGAGCCTCTAATATGTAAATATTAAGAGCATTTTGCTTGAAAATCTCATGTTTGGCGGATGGCCCCCCAAAATGGTTTCGAAAGAAATTCTGGCTACCTTGGCGGTCCTTGGAGATCTTTTTCACTATTTTTTTGGTTTTTTATCTGCATTTGGCATTCATATCGCTTCACAGAAATATATATCCCCATATTTGTCTAATTTGAACTATACGGAAATCCTCTTTGGAGAAAATTGCCAATATTAATTTTTTATATCCTCAGATTATATATAGATTATAACCTAAGCCATATGGTTACAGATAGTATATATCATTTGATACGGCCAAAACGTGCCTCATAGAAATAATAATTTTAGATCTTAGGTCTCTTTGGACCAAATCCGTTTCAGGACTTTTGGAGTCAATATAACGATGCGTGTCCGTCCGTCTGTCTGGCTGGCTGGTGCGCACGATAACTCTCGAAGGGAGTATCCGATTTGGTCCAAACTTGGTATATCGTAATATTGTTGTCAAACTTAAATCGAGTTCGGAGATTGGTAATATCGGTACACTCCTTCTGGTACGTCTCATACAAAATGCCAACATTTTCAAAGAAAATAATTTACAGCACAGAAAGAGAAATGATAATCCAATTTTGCTCCAACTTTAGGAATCCTAATCTTTGCATCGGAGCTAGGTCAGGTGCGAAAATAGACAATATCGATCCACTCCGATCTACTTCCCCCACGAAGGGCCAACATTTTGAATAATTATAACTCTTATAAAATGTGATCTAAGTGTCCGATTGTCTTCAAATTACACACATCGCACTATTTTTATGAGCCTAAGGTCTGGTGTGAGGATGGAATATATCGGTCCACTACTTCTGCTACCTCCCTCACAATGGGTCAACATTTTGAATATTAATGTGGCTCATAAAACACTAAAGTAACATCCGATTTCATTCAGACTTGGCACATCTTAATACTTCCGTCAACACAAAATCTGTTATAAAGATAGTAGAGATCGGACCATTCCTTGTGGTACCTCCCCCACAAAGGGCCAAAGTTTTGAATAACCAAAACGATCATAAAATCAGAAATTTGCATACGGTTCTCTTCATATACGTCCCATTTTTTCTACAAACTCAAGGTCTAGTATGAAGATGGGATACATCGGTCCACTCCTTCTGGTACCTCCCCCACAAAGGTCCAATATTTTGAGTATCCATGAAGCTCATAAAAAGCGACATTAATATCCGATTCCATTTGTCGACAAAACCGGCTGATACTATCGACTATTTTACTTGTTTAATTTTATTTATTTATTTATTTTATTTATTTATTTTTTTTTTTTTGTTTTAGTCAAAGCTTCTAGTAGATAATTATAAAGATAGATGTGTTTTCAGTATAGGACCTATACAAGACCCTTCGAATCTCATTTGTTTGGCCCGGCAATTTTTACTTGTTACATCTCGAATAATTTTGCTTTTCAATTACCCAATGAAATATATATTAATATTCTTCTTCTTCTTTTTTTTAGCGTCAACAAGTTTGGGTATCGTGCAACGGCAACAACGCCCAGGATCAAGAAGAATTCGGCACTGTCAAATACTATCCCGCTCAGGGTTTCCCCGCCTACTACTATCCATATCTGAATCAACAGAACTATTTGAGTCCTTTGATTGCCGTACAATTCGAACAATTGCCAGTCAATAAAATGATCAACATTGAATGCCGTGCCTGGGCCAAGAACATCATCTACAATGGCAGCATTCGCGATCGTCAGGGTTCGGTTACCTTCCAAATCTTCATCGATTAGAGATTGCGGTAATGGTAGCAGTTATTGGCGTCCACCACCATCAACCCCAATAAATGTTAAGGTGTTAACAATGCATCCGCGGCAGCAGAAGCAGCAGTAATAGCAATAACAACAACAACAACACCGATTAGAATCAACAATTTTAAAATTTTATTAAAAAACACACACACAAACACAACAACATATTGCCATTAACACCTCTTAGCTCTGACATTTTATTTCTCCAGCGAATTGTATCTAAACAAACAACAAAAACACAAACACTTCGGGCGTCGTTGTATTAAGTTCAAGATTATTTTTTCTTCTAATTGAACCGTGTCGGTTCCGGTAGTTATACATTACTATACATACATACACACATACATACATGTAATCTGAAAGTATGCTATTCTATGTAAAAAGATATGAAACTAAAACAAAGAAATGTAAATTTTAGTTTAAAAAAAAGTGTTAACCACCGCCACTAGGAATTTTTTGTCAAAGCATTACAACAACAAATCGAGCCTAATGTCAAAATGTGATTTATTTCTTATGTAAATGCAAAATGCAAACCAATCCCCCATTGCCATTCACGTGTTAATATTTCTGTTTTTCTGGTACCCCGCCCTCTGTCCCCTACATCCACCCGCCCACCACCTGTTATTTTCCTTAAATCATTTTTCAAATCAAATTCATAGTTTATGAAATGTTATTTGTTATTTTATTTAATAGATCATGTAAAAGTTTTAAGTGTTGAATGCAAAAGAAAGAAAAAAACTAAGCAAAACAAAACTATTTCACTTGTATGTACAATTTAAGAAAACTTGGAAAAATTATTAGAAAAAGAACGGATTTTTCATTTTATGCCAATCATCCAATCACCCCCTCTCAAGATAATGAATTGTAGCAAGAGCCCACACAAACTGGCCAAGTCACAGCCATGAGGCAACGCAAAAACAGGGTTTATACAAAAAAAGAAAATAGCTCCCAAAGACAAGACAAAGCTTGTGCCTGTGACTAGCCTCTTTGGGTTTTTGAAATAATGTATTTACTTATTTGCAAGTACTTTTTTGTTCATTGTTTGTTATTATTATGATTGTATAGTCTTTATTTTAAAAAAAGCAAAAATATCAACAACAAAAACAAATTATTGTAATATTTCATTTCCTTCTTCTATCTTATGTTTTCTACACCTTGTTCTCTTATCTACCTGAAGTTCTTCAAGGAACTTTAATTTAAAATGAAACAAAACAAAAACAAGAGAAAACCCCCATTTGCTATGAAACAACAGTGAACAAACAGCTTGTTGCTGTTGTTTACTTCTTTTATTTTAAATATTTAAAACAATTTAATAATAATAAATTAATATGTAATAATTATAATTTTAATAAAATAAAGAATTCAATTCTATAAAAAAAACACACAAAAATGATTTGCCTTTCGATTTTGAAAAGGGAAAGAAAAAGTTCTGGCGTCAACCAATTATGCATATAAAATAGAGTTAAAAGGTCAAAAAAAATTCCATTTTATTCTGAACAAGTTAAAACCCTGTAAGTACGGCCGGGCCGAACTTGGAATAACCTTTGGCAATTCTCAAAAACAATAAAATCCGTTAAAAATTCTTTAAAATTCTTAAAAATGCCGAATGTAGCCGTTATATTAGGGTCTATACGATGACGTGGACCTGCATAGGCAACTTTTGTCATAAGCCATTGCAATATTCAAATACGAAACTTGAAAAAAGATAATGTAGCTTAAATTATCAAAATACCGAATATAGGGAGGTACTATTATATCGGGGCTATACCAAAACTTGGACCTGCATATGTAATTTTTTTTCATAGGCTGTAGAATCCATTACGAATTTCAAATGCCAAAATTGAAACAATTCCGGTGAAAAATGTAGCTAAAATCATTAAAATACCGAATGTCGGGAGTTACTATTATATGGGGGCTATACCAAAACGTGGACCTGATAGACAATTTTCTGTCAGCGGCTGTAGTATCCATTACGAACTATAACTACCAAATTTGAAACTTTTCCGGTAAATAATGTCGATAAATTAATCAAACTACCGAATACTGGGAGGTAACGATATATGGAGAATATACGAAGACGTGGACCTGTACGCACAGTTTTCTGTCATAGACTGTAGTATCCATTCCGAGCTTCAAATGGTGAATAATGTTTCTTAAATCACCAAAATACGGAAAATAGGGAGGTATCATTATATGGGGCTATACAAAAACGTGGACCTTCATGATCCATTTTAAATACCAAAAGTCCTGCGACATAATATACATTTTAGTAAAATTTTATTAATCTACTTAATTTCGTTCGGAATCTAGAGTGATTTCCACAGACGGACAAACAGATACATGGACATACGAACGGACATCGCTAAATCGACATAGAATCTTATGCTGATAAAGAATATATATACTTTGTGAGGTCTAAAATGTATATTTAGTGGTCTTACAAACTAAATGACAAACTTAATATACCCTCCGTACTATGGTGGAGGGTATAAAAAGAAGGTGGATGATAATATGCCCGGAAACTATGATCGCTACCAATTTCATGATTCATTGAACTGAAAAAGTCTAGTGATCATTCCCTTTGTCGAGATGAAATCATGAAATTTTTAGCGATCAGCAAATATTTCAAATCTGTCAGCTTCGTATTGAAAAACATTACTCTCTATAATAAAGGGTAATATGAAGTGAATCCAATGGGGGAACACTTCAGACTTAAACAATCAATTAAAAGAATGTCCAGACAAAATTATTACATCACGCATGTGAGTAAAAAACAAAAATTATGTTATATATGACTTTTGGGAAAACAATTGTTTTTAAAATAATGAAACTATTCATTCTGCTATTAAAATTATGTACTTATCAAAAAATTCACTAGATATGAACCTCTCAACTCAGTCCTGGAAAAACAGGAAAACAAGTTTCTATACAAAACCTTTTAATAAAAATCAAAATATCCTCTAAAGAAATTAACATTATTAACATATAATGTTAAATAAAACATTTTGCTTTTATTCACTGGTCTTAAGGGGTATTTTTGGTTTTATTATTCATTAGGTCATAGGTAATGTATTTTGTTTTTATTATTTTTCTTTATATTTTTATTGGTAAATAGTGTTGTGTTTTTATTCAAAATTTTTATTTTGTTATTAGGATGAGAATTTAAAAAATAAACAGTGCACATTAGTTGCTTGTATTTGTTTTGTTTTTTAATAAGAGGGGTGTTCATTTAAATCCTTAATATTTTTCAGGAATACTTAAGAAATTAATTAATACTTTTCATTTGGGAAAAGAAACCTTTGGATTTTTGGGTTATTAATAAATATATATATATATTTTTTTCTTTATTAGAATGGAGGGTAGAAGATAATGTTTTCGAGAAAAAAAATTGAATTCTTATTCACCTTGGGGAATGGAAATGATTTTTTTAAGAATTATTTTTAAAGGATATATTTTACTATGACATTTGAAGATATTTGGTTTCCTCCTAAAACATTTTCTTCTTCTTTTTTATTTCATTTATTTGCCGTTATTCTTTATTCAGTACTTATCTTTATTTTATCATTTACATTGCTGACATTCACATACTCCTATTGAACAATTCCAGAACATTCAGAAAACAAGTAAGACAGTTCCTTGGGGTCAGGAGTTCCGGTTTTTAGGTTAATTAAAATATTTCAGACATTTTTGAAAAAAGTGTCTTAGAAAAAAATATTTTAGATGATTGTTCTTGTCAAGGTTTTGACCCACGTGAATTATATAAAAAAATCCAAGTTTTATCTATTTATTAAAAAAGATAAAAGAATTCATTAATTAGTAGTCCTTCGATTCTTCAATATTCATCTGCGGTACAAATTAAACCCACATGTGCACATTTGTATTTCTCTTTATACCCTAAGCCATAACGCTTTCTTTGGCGTTTGGTTTTTCAATATCTTGAACTCTGTTTAGGGGAGGTACCAGAAGAAATAATCCGATCTCTACCATTTGGTATATCTTAATAGATTTAAATATTAAGATATACCAAGTCTGAATCTTAATCGGATGCTGATTTCGCTTCATGAATATTCCAAATTTTGACCCTCTGTGGGTGAGGTACCAGAAGGAGTGGACCGATGTATTCCATCTTCACAGCAGATTTTTTGCTAGTAGAAATAATGGGATGTGTGAAATATGAAGAGGCTCGGATGCTTATTTCAGATTTTATTATCGTTTTGGTTATTCAAAACCTTGACCCCTTATGGGGGAGGTATCAGAAAAAATGGTGCGATCTCTACCATCTTTATAACAAATCTGGTGTTGATGGAAAAATTGGGATGTGCCAAGTGTGAATGGAATCGGATGTTATTTTCGTTTTTTTTTTTTTTTTTTTTTGAGCGTTATGAATATTCAAAACTTTGACCCTTTGCGGGGGAGGTACCAGAAGGAGTAGACCGATATCGTCCATCTTCACACCAGACTTTGGGTTAATGAAAATATTGTGCTATGTGTAATTTGAAATAATCGGATTTTTACATTACATTTTATAAGAGTCATAATCATCCAAAATGTTGACCCTTTGTGGGGGAGGTATTTGATGGAGTGGACCGATATTATCCAAATTTCTACTTTTTGTGGGAAAACTAATAAAAAATGTATATTAAATTTTCGACTCAAAACTTTTAAACGATTCGTATCAGATCAAGAATGTTAAAAATACATTAAAATAGTATTTTAACAAAATCTTAATGTCAAGTAAGGAGCTTATGGCAAAATTTCCCCACATGTCATTTACTTGTTCTCTGTTATGTTCTTTGTTTTTCCTCATCTTTCCTGTCCTGTTTTACAATGAAAATCTTTAATAAATATAATTTTCCAAAAATAATGCATACCAGTAGAGAAGTGGTAAACTATTTTCTTCGGTATTTTTGCTCTTTTGTTACTGCTTTGTTTGATAGACAGAATTTTGTTGTTAACTCTTGGTTTGAATGTTTCCTTCTTTGGTTTTAGTTTTAAAATTTACTTTTTTTGTTATAAAATAATGATAGTAGATTTGTTGTATTGCATTTTTAAACAGTTTTTTTTTTTTTTTTTTTTTTTTTTTTTTTTGTTCTTAAGTTGACGGATTGTTAATGAGGCATTATTTATTGAGTTAGATAAAAGAAATGAAATGAGACATTATAAATGTCTTTTCAATGTATGGCTGTAAGTATATTTTGTAAAGATGTGTTTAGTTTAATGTAGATTTAAATATTAATTATTTTTCCATTTTTTTCTATTACTAAAGATACTGAAGATTCTTAGGGTAATAGAGCATAGATATTTGTTTCATTTGTTTTGTTTTTATTATTTAATTTTTCTTTTTTTAAATTGAATTAAAACTATTTTTCATAAGTGGTTCTCTCTTCTTTCCTTTGTCTTTAATAATAATATAATAATTTTTTATTTATATAAAATTAGCTAACATTTTTTTCATTATTAAATTTGTTTTGTAATTCTAATTGTAATATCCTTTTGTATTGTGGTATTGTTGTTTTTTTGGTTTTAGTTTCAATGAAATCACAAAGTAATTTATCACAAGTTTAAAAAACATACATTTAAAATTTGGTTTATTTCATATTTTCTTTTATTATTAACTATTCTATGAGTTTCATTTATTGTTAACCAGATTTTTTAACTACGAAAATTTTGTTGCAACTTTTGATTTTCGATTTTATTTGTTAAAGAAACACTGTGCCACCAAACAAATACTCAAGGGTTTCGGGTGGAAATACCCTGAATTTAACGACTTCGCATTGAAATTATACCTGCAGCCGATTTCCAGGGTTAATATTTTTCAGACTTTTTAAGAGACTAGAGTGTGATGGGTAAACAAATTTAAGACAAAACTAACAAAGAAAGTTCTAAAGACGAGCGGGGCCGACTTTATGGTACCCTACACCACTTTGCATATTTAGTAGAGCTTCACATAACAGATAACAATTTTTATGGGGAATTTGTGAGAATTAAATCATACCAACTATGATTATAGATATAAATTATTTATAAGGGAAAGGAACTAATATATGAGAGGAACATCCTCCTCTGAATCGATTTCTACTAAATTTGCCAAGGCATTTGTGCCTTTTCCATCCGGCCTTGTATTACCCATTTGGTGCAAAATAACTTGAAATCGGATAAAGATGTATATGGGAGCTATATCCAAATCTGAACCGATCTCGACAAAAATTTAGCAAAGGTATTTCTGAGCTGTATTTGGTATATTTCCCCTAATATCGTTACTACCGAGTGCATATTAAGGCTGTGCAGGACAAATTCAACAAATCGGATGAACAATATATGTCTGAGCTATAGCTATATCTGAACCGATTTTCTCAAACTTTGACATACTTGTTGCTAGACTCAATTTGGTCGTAAATGCCAAATTCCACCCCCAACAGAAAGGAAATAGACTCAAAAGAGCTAAAGAGTTGCTTCGCTGGGCCGAAAGTGGTGAACTGCCGAATTTGGTTTTCTCCGATGAGAAAACATTGGTTGTCCAGCAGTTTGCAACCAAATAAAATGATCGTGTTTACTTGCCAAAGAGAACACCTTCGGTTGGCCACCAGAACTTAAGCGCCGGCCATGGTAATGGTGTGGGCCGCCATAACGGCCGATGGTCGCTCTCCGCTCGTATTAATCCACCGCGGCATCAGAATAATTGCCGAATATTGCCGCGAAAATATTCTGGAGGGTGTATTAAAGCCTTGGACACGCAAACATTTTGGCCGCAGACCTTGGACATTCCAAAAGGACTCAGCACGCGCCATCCAAGAATGGTTAGAAAATGAGGTTCCTCGCTGCATTTCCAGCGCACAATGGCCACCAAAATATCCGGATACCAATTCGTTGGACTATTGTGTCTGGAGTATTTTGGAAAGCAAGGTTGGCACTAAAAATACCGATCACCGATCACCGAAAATACCGCGTGTGACGGTTTCATTGGCCGTTTAAAGTTCATAATTCGTGCCAAAGGTGACCAATTCGAACAAATCTAAACTTATTCTAAAATTTGATCCTATTTCCGACATTTTTTGCTTTCATTCAATAAAATTTAAGAAAAAAAAATAAAAATTATGGCGTTTGACTTTGTTGCAGTTTTTTTTATCCCACTCTGTATATATCTAAATTTTAACCGATTATCTCAAAATTGAATAGGATTCGTCCTTGGGTCAAACAAATAATTTGGACAGATGGGCGGACGGACAGGCATAAATCGACTCAGAATGTGATTCTATGCAGATCATCAAAAGGAACTATGGGTTTATATTGTTTCCTTTTGCCTGTTACAAACAAATGCACAATTACCTTGTGGTGTAGGGTATAAAAACTAAAGTTAATTGAAGACAATTTTCAAACATACTATTATAAACATTTATTTTATGTTAGACCTTCCGGATTGGTTTCAAAATACATCTCGGAATAGGTCTCCAACAAGAATATGATGTAAGTACCAATAATTAATACCCAATAATCTAATTTAAAATTAAACAATAATTTCTAGACCCCAATTTCCCCATTCAATTTAAAGCTTATGGCCTTTCCCAAATCTCCCCCTCGTGGCACTGTCTGTAATTAAATTACATATTAACTACTCTTACAAAAATATAACAAATAAGTATAACAATAGATTTATCGTTGATTTGAAATGTCGTTTTTACCAGTTGCCACTACCAAAGGAAACAGTGTTGATATCCTAGAGATCAAATAAATATTTCAGGATTGCTTTGAACCCCATAGCTCGGTTTCATAGTAGATACGATGTACATTATCACGTATAAGTTTTGATTTTTCTTTGCTGAGGGCCACGGCCGTGTGTTGTTTTTTGAAAAATTCCAAACACAACTCCTGTGGGGCGCCCAGGGCATGGATATTGCTGGTAAAGGTCCTACAAATGGAAATGAAAAACAATTAATCTTTGCAATTCTTCAATAAAACTTTTCACAAAAATTTACGCCAATTGTCGAAACGCAATATTTTCCATTTCTTTGTCGAAATCCAATGCAGGATCATTTGCCGGTTTTGCAGATTTTTCCTTTTTCCCATGATTTCCTTTGCCATGCGAAGAACTAGACTCTGAGACATCCTGCTGCTTGGCCATAACATTCTCCTCATTTTCTTTACTTTCTACATTCTGGGACTTGAGTTTACCCATTTCCTCCTTAGCCTTCTCTTTGTCCTTCTCCCTGGCCTTGCGTCTCTCCTGCTTCTTTTGCCGCGATTTAAGGCGATTGTTTCTTTCCGTTTCCATGCACTCCACAAAGGCAGCATTCCAAAATTTCAAAGACATCCAAATGGGTTGTTCCCTTATAAACGTACACAGATACTCTCGATATGGATCACAACCGGGCACCTCAACTACAAACAGAAATTTTGCATTAATACATTCATTCGCTCAACGCTACAAACATTGCTCAATCTCTTACTCTCTCGGTAAAATAGAAAACTCAAATTCATCATTATCATGGCCGGTCCGAAATCGGAACATTCACCACATTCAAACAACACTATGGCAAAGTGTTGGATCAACGAGTGGAATGTCGGCTCTTCGACACGTTTCGATTTGTTCTTCTGCTGCAGCAGGAAACGCACAAACCATTGTCGGCCGATTTCAAGGCGGGCCATGGCACCAAACTCCGATTTCAGTTCCAGATCGATGGCATTGGCATTCGTGAATATGGTGTCGGTAAAACGCTTCATAAACTCTTTGATGGGCTCCTCACCGGTGCGACAGTCCAAGCTTATCGAAGAGGCCCACGAAGGCACAGAATTCTGCGATTCGGAACGTATAAAATGGCGCCAATCCGTGGACTCACCACTTGGGCTAACCTGATAATCCAAATCATCCCGTAAACTAGTTAAAGTACTGCTGTTGGAATTTTTACGTCTAACCGGAGGCACGCGTATGGAATGGCTCGAAACAGTTCCTGCCATATTGGCCATGGAAGATTTGCTAGGATCTCGATCGTGTGGCGGTTGGACCTCAATATGAGGTGCAGCCGTGGGTGGCAGTGCAACCTCTCCACCAACACCCCCACCACCACCGCCAACATTGGCTGCTGATACAGCAGCCGCATTGCTTGCCTTTGCCATTTCATTAAGTCTCATAAGATCTCTTTGTACATCCAGTTCACTTCGTCGGGCGCCAGCTATGGCTCGTTTCCTTTCATAGCCACCCGAGTGTCGCGACTCAATGGAATCCGATCGGGTGGTACTACTCACATGTGAACGATCTTGAGCCTGGGCATTGTTAAATGACCTGGATGATGTTGATGTCGATGACGATGATGAGGAGGAGGATGAAGATGATCGGGATTTATCGGGTTTACGGCTACGTAAGGCATCTAAGCGAGGTCCTATAAGGGAAATAATTCGCAACTCCTTAATATTATATTCTCTAACTGAGAAGTAGTGACTCACTTGGTGCTAAATTTGGTTGTCTATAACGTCCTGATATGATCTCTTCATGGGCTCTCCGGGCTTTAACACGTCTGGATTCATAATCGATTTTCGTATAATCAATGGATTCGTCGTCTAAAAGGAGATTTAAAGTTTTTCAAGGAATTCCCATTGTGAGTAGTAATGAAGGTACACTTACATTTGGGCACTTCTTCCTCGTCATCGTCACAGTAATCTGAATCACTGGAACTTATATTCAAAGTCAACTGAAAATAATCGTGTGTTTTTCGTATATTTTGGTAAATTATTAAAAATAACAATAAATGGATTTTTGGCATATATAATAGATGAAGGTAGGCATTATGTTATATATTGCAATTCCTGGATTGAACAACTATATTAACTTTCCAAAAGAAAGGTGGACAACAATTTCTCCCTTAGAGTGGACTAAATGCAGCAAAAAAAGTGGGCCAAAGATGGACTCATATTTTGTCAAAACGTGTGGTACATCCTCTCCAAAAAAAAGAACCATCCACTGTTCAAAATTTGTCATAAAAGTGGCACTTAATATTACTGAAAACATACTTCAGAACATATACTATGCACCGCCCATCATTAATCTTTGAAAGTGGATTAGCCACTGAGCGGAATTTAAACCAAAACCATTTATATTGTTTAAATTCCCGAATTGTTGAATATATCCAGTCAATATTTTATCGTAAGGGTGCACTTTATGATCTTCGAATACAACTTAATGCATATCGAAGGGACCTGGGCCGGACGACCAGAATTCCGTAGCTGGACTCAAGCAAAAATAAAATTAGTTGATGAATTTGCATCTGGCAGAAAAGCACAAATTAATCCAGCGCCTAAAAGAAGGCTTTGGATTTTACTTTATTACAGCATTGCCGTTATTTATAATGTAATCTGTTCTAATCAACAAAAATTGCCTAAATAAGATCTCAAGGTATTCCGGACTACCAATTTCGTTGGTTTTTGAAAGAATATTGAACTGATTGTCCCGTGGACCCAAAATGAGATATTTTTATGATATTTTATTTAACCAAAAATCGTGAATTTTCTTTTCATGGTAAAATGATGTATTAATCAAAAATCGCGCCTGTTTTAAATAATTGTTTTCAGATTTCAAGTCCAAAAAACATGGATTTTATATTATTTTTTAAAGAATATTTCGAAAAATGCTCCAACCAGAAACTGTGATTTTTTTTAAGAATATTTTAGGATCGTCCTACCAAAATATAAATTTCTTATGGAATACATATATTTAGAGTTTTCTGCCATAAATGGACGTGGGATTTTGAAGAAGTTCCATTTGTAAAAAATAATACAATTTGGAAAAAATCTAGTAGCAAACATTTTTCAAGAGATAGGTATTTTTACCCTGATTCCGGATACCCTGGATTCGGGTCTAACCCGGACTTTCGCCTCAAAGATCTGAGGTACCGGGTCCGTCCCCCAAGAAAAAATAGAGTTTTCCGAAATCAGGGTAAAAGTAACTACCCCTGGAAAAGGTTTCGAAAAATCGAAGAGTCTTTAGTAAACTAATGTTAAGACTTCAATTTTAAATAGGATTTTCAAAGACCAGCAAAATATTGAGAATTTTTCAAGGAATAATTTGAAGAGTCATCTAATGCTTGTAAAGAATTCTTTTAGGACTTCTTGGCCAAAATTTATTGGTTTTATTAAGAAAATGTTTAACGGATGGTCCGACCAAAAATTGAGGATCTTATATATATTTTTAGCAGAAATAATTACCCTTGAAGAATATTTTTTTACAGGGTTTTCTAGCGAACAATCAAGGAATAAAAGGATTTTTTTAGTAAGGATCATGTCACCAAAAATTGGGGATAAGTTAGGGAAAATTTCAAAGGTCATCTGGACAAAAACAAATTTAGAACCATCCGACCCAAATTGTGAACAATAATGAAGAAGACGAATAATGAAAAATGTGTTGAGGACCGCCCGACTAAAAATTGTAGATTTATAAGGATAATTTTGAAGATTTCCCGGGATCAAACAGAGGGTTTGAAGATATATAAAAAATTCCTGATAAAACTTCCGGCTTTTTAAGAATATAGTTTCATAATCTTAGAATTCCTGTCCTGTCACGGTTCGTACAACTAAAAATTAATGACTATATTTAAGATTCACGGGCCGAAAAACATGGATTTTTTAAAAAATATTTTGAAGAATATTTCATAGGACCGTCTAACCAAAAATATTAATTCTTGTAAAAGATTTTTTAGGATATTTGGCCAAAACACGTGGATCATATTAAGGATACACTTAATAAAAAGGCCGCAGAATTATTTTAATAATATTTAATATTTTCAGGGATTTTCCAGCCGAAAATATTTTTTTTCAAAGGATTTATTCCTGAAATTTTGGCTTTTTAAGAATATTTCTTAAGGTGATTTCCCAGATTTTTTAAGACATTATTTCCGAAGATTTTTGCCCTAAGATTTTGTACAAGCATTTTCGGGACTCCCACCTTTAAAGCAATCTTGATGCTTTTCAGAAACTTTTTCCCTAAAATCGTGGATTTCTTTTGTAAAATATTTTACCAAGGACTTTTTGCTGAAATATAGGTTTTCGTTTTGGTGGATATTTACTTCGTATTATTAATCGACGCAATATTTTGCTTTTTCCCACTTTCCACAATTATTTCCAATTTTTGTTAGGCAAGTTAATATTTTATAGTGTCACATAGCTGTACCGCCAAATTTTAGGTAGCGTGAAAACATTACTTCAATTTCTTTATGGATAAAGTCAATTATATACGACACCTGTAACAACTTGCAGTCCTCTAGGTCATTCCTCTAATTTTCCACAATTCAATTCAACAATTAATTAAACCCCTCTCTGGCAATTGTTCGAGTTTTTCATTGAACAAACATTTCCCTCCCCTTTTCGAATGTGACACGCAACACCTATGGCTTAGATAAACGAGTCAAGATTAGACCAAATTAAATAAGAAAAACCTTCCGGTTAAAATATCCTTCAACTGACGGTAACAACAAAAACAGCAATATCCGCAGCCATGTGATTATCAAAGAATGGAAATGTTGAAACAATCTCAATTTTCCCTACAAACACACTCACTCACACACACACATACCCAAACAATGTGTGTTTCATTTCTGTTTCCTTTTCAAATTCAGAAAAAAAAATTGCATTCCCAAGGTTCCATGACAGGCAGTCCGTCCGTCAGTCAGCCGCAAAGAAAACACATGCTTAGTTATGGAGGCACGTTTGTTTTTGTTGCTGTCTTTGTTTTTTCAATTAATTACTGCCACTACTGTCGCTCTCACTGCCGCTACCACTGCCACTGCTGCTGCTGGAGGCACCCGACTCACATATCCTTGCCATTCGTGCTAACACACATTTCTTTTCCAATTTTGTTATGATTTGAGCAAAGCGTGTTGGCCGAATGGAACCTTGAAACATATGCTAACATCGTTGATTTGCTTTGTAGTTGATGTTGGTGGGCCTGGCCCTTGGCTATGGCAGAACTCTTCAACTTTTATTTGCAAGCTTTGCATTAATGGTAGGCAGGCTAAGTGTGTGTGTGTGAGTGTGAGTCTTCTTCTTCCAAACAATATTCAAGGTTAATGACGGCAGTAACTCAGCCCTACACAAAAAAGCCTGTTCATTCAGATTTGAAATAACAACGCATAAACAAATGCTTCCTGTTCTTCTTTGAGGCGGGATGAGGTTATGGGAAAAAAGGAAAAGCATTATTCTGCTTGGATGCAACTACTTACCTTTGATGAAATGCCGTTCAATAATTCGTTACTGTTTCCCAGCACGGTGAGGAATTTCGATTTCAAAATGCCGATGGCTGGTGTACGGCCCATAAAGCTTTTGATGCGAGAGGTTTCTCCCGTTGCTGCTGCCGTTGACTCAGCTGTCGGGGGTGGTGATGAGGGGAACATTTTGTCATTTGTTTACCCACTTTGTTGGTGTTGTTGTTGTCGGGAACAAATTAATAGCAATTAACCACAAAATCCTCTCAAAATTAAGTATACGCACAGGTGGTGGTGGGAGAGAGAGAAAGAGAGTGGCTGAGAAAGAAATGTGGTAGTAACACGGTCAACTGTTACATTGACGAGAGCGTGCGTGTGTGTGTGTTTATTTGCCTTTATTACTTGGCAAATACTGTTTTACTGGTCCACATGTTAGGTTCAACGTAACTATTGAACCCCTCTTTTGGGTTGCGTTGTTGTTGTGGCACTCAACTTAGCCCTGCACATGGCGAACTACGGCAATGCCAAGAACATGTGTCATAATGCCACTTGACTGGTCACATATGGCTGGCAGTTACCATTACCACCAGCCGCTGCAGAAGCTCAAAACGCGTATATGCAACCGAACACTTGTCTGCAGCGAACACCAGCAGCCAGCCCCACAATGTTGCAGGCCAGTGGAATCAGCTGCGCCGCTGTTGCAGCCCCAGCAAAACCCGCAATTTAACCGATTATAGTATATTACACTCTATTGTTTATCAATGTTTTCTGTTTTTGTTTTTGTTGCTGTTGTTTTGTTTTTGCTTTCCTTTCTTTATGTTTTCCTGTTGTTGGCTTTGTGTTTTTTGTTCATCAACTCACATTTCCTGACAAACCCATCATATGGTTGGTCGTACGCCACCACCACCACCACCTTGCAAAGTGACAGACACACACACAACAACCGCCTGAGGCAGCGAACAGTAAGGTAGTTGAAGAGAAGGGCTAGGTGGTGCTTGAATGATTATTGATTTTTACACACCACCGTTGTCGTACGTCGCCGCCGCCACCGCCGACATCGTCTTGTGCAATGGGATTTTGAAAAATAATTCCTTGAACTTCACACGGCCATCAACGGCAAACGGCAATAGCCAGAGCTGCAGCGCCGTCAATATTCGTTAATATTTGTTTCTTTTTCTGTTTTTAATCTTTTTTTCTTCGTTGTTATGCTAACACCTTGTTTTCTTCTTTCTTTCACTTCAACTCTATTTAAACAGACTAGCTAAAAAAACTAAGAAGTTAAAAAAATAACTCCTTCCGACCAACCAACTTTTGTTTTAGACAAAGAAAGGCACTTTTTTCAACAGGAGTATCCTTGGATTCCACACATTCTTTCGGGAAAATTTATTGCTTAAATTATTGTATTATTTGTTTGGTGTGTTTTCACATTTTCTGCTTCAACAATCACAAGTTATGTTTCACTTTTTTTCTATTTTTTTTTCTATTTCCTTGACTTGACTGTTCACCACAGTTCACTCCTATTTGCCCGTATAATTTCTAACTACTGAACCATCGTTTTGGCCAGAAGCAGCAAAGGAACGTAGCAATCATACGCAGGGTGGAGCTTTCTCTCTGTTATTGTCAGCTACACACAAAACAGAGGATTTGTTTACATAGACGGGTGACAGTGTGTGTCTGTGTATGTGTGTAGTAAATGTTAAAGAAAAGAGCTTTTCGTGTAAAATGTTAATTTCATGTTATGGTACATTGGATGGCTGTATAACCGTTACAGAATCCTAATCTTTAAATATATAAAAACAAGAAAAATAGTATCAGCCGGTTTTGCCGACAGATGTATACCAGCCTTGAGTTATGTTTATTCAAACAGCTGATGATTATTCAAACAGAGGAGGTTCCAAAGTTGGCCAATACTGACCAATTCGCATCAGACCTAAGACTAATAAAAGAATTACAACGTGCTAGATTTGGACTGTATCGATTCATTTTCATACTTCGTATATGCAGATAAAAATATTGTGCAAAATTTTAAGGAAATCGAACATTTATATCCAGTTTTATGCGAAATCATAAATTTCGATAAATCACATATTCATATCAGATTTCTGGTTAAGAGGGAAATATTTACATACAGAAAGCTGTTAAGTATCACCGATTTGTTTCGCAAGTTATGATCTTATATTATTAGAAATAATGGGATGTGTGAAATATGAAGAGGACAGGATTTTATGATCGGTTTGGTTATTCGAAACCAGAAGGAATGGTCCGGTCTCTAACATCTTTATTACAGATCTTGTGTTGATAGAAATATTGAGCTGTGCTAAGTCTGAATGGAATCGGATGTTAATTTCGCGTTTGTGGGGGAGGCACAAGAAGGGGAAAACAGATACATTCCATTTTCAAACCAGACCTTTGGTCCCTAAAAAAAATGTGCGTAAATTAGACTCTTACTTCACATTTTATAAGAGTTCTTATTATTCAAAATTTTGACCCTTTTGTGGGGGAGGTACTTGATGGAGAACTCAGGCAAATATTAAGATGTTCAAAGGTTGAGAAAAATCGGAATATCCTTTCTCTCTCTGCGCAGTAAAATATTTTCTTTTAAAATTTTGATCTTTCGTGGGGGAGATACCATTCCCAAACGCGATCAAAGTTTGATAATAATATTACGATGTACCAAGTTTAATTAAAATCGGATACCCCCTTCGAGAGTTATCGTGCGCACCAGCCAGACAGACGGACGTACGGACAACGTTAGAGCGACTCCAAATGCCCTGAAACGGATTTGGTCCAAAGAGACCTAGGGTCTTAAACCGTTATTTCGATGAGGCATGTTTTGGCCGTACCAAATGATGTATATATGATATATATGGAAGGGTTTTGGAAATATGTACCAAAAGTGTACGAAAAGCAGTAAATAGTACCATATTTGGTACTATCTAGTGTTAGGTGAAAAGATAGTTCTTAAAATCGGAAATTTGGTATTAGGGCCGATGTTCAAGTGTAGCCTGGGCATAAGGAGGTTATGTCAGAAGTGTGTCTTATATTTGTACAAAAACTACAACATGGTACTAAATTTGGTATTCAGTAAAGGGATAAACATACAATTCTAAAATTTTGTACTTAAATTACTGAGGGTATCTCTGAGATTTTGCGAGTAATTCAAAATATTCTGGAGGAAGTACAGGAAAGGACCAATATTGTCCATTTTCGAACCGAACATATGTCTTATCAATACATCAGGTTTTAATTACATCGGATATTCCTCTGGCACAATATGAAATTTTGATGTTATTTATTGGATATTTTTGTACTTTTTGGGAGAGGTACCAGAGTGACGTGAGCGATATATGTGGAGAGAGGTGCAGGAAGTGAGCCAATATGACCCATTTCCACACCGGATCTAAGTCTTGCAAAAATATTATGATGATCCAAGTTAAACTATACCGAGTAAACTCATCACTCCATAAAATGATTTTGACCTTGGGTCTAAACCTTTGGATCATTGCGAAGGCGCATTACAACTGTATTAAAATTTAATACGGTTTAAAACTTAAAATTTCGGATTTTAAATTGTCGTTATTCTTTACCATTCAATACCCCTTAAAACTCCTCAATATTTTCCAAACATCGACAGAATTATTTGTATTTCCTAATTATTTCCTTATAATATATTTTTCCAATATTTCCTTTCTGACCACAGATCGAACTTTTTTACTCTTATTTCTGTTAATACAAAAAACATAAAATCGAAATCATTTATCTAAAATCCCAAACAAATAAAATCAAATACTAAAAATAAAATCGAAATGATCTAAATTTAATTTTGCGGGACTTTAAAATGTCGTCATTCCGGCATTGATAAATGTTTTCAACAATTAAATGGAGATGAAGAGAGGGGGTCTGCGCCTAATTGAGACTACACACATTTTTTTCTTGATGTTTTCTATTTTGGTATAGAAGAAGCAAAAAAAAAAACAAAATTGCATTGTATTGTCTGCGTTCCGTTTTCATTTCAATTTATCATCGTCATCAAGTAACACCCTTCCGCACAGTTTTCATTTTTTTTTTCTTTTTCGCTGTCGTTGTCGCTCTTTACAAGATCAATAGGAAATGCATTGGATTTTCATGTTTTCTTTCAATTTTTTTCAACGACAACTTGTCATTCTCCTCTAGGAAAATGTCAACAATGTTTGCCTGACATTATGAGTGTAGGGAGTGAGAGAAAGAGTTCTCAGTTGTTGTCTCCCATGCAAGAGTGCGTCACCAAGGTTCGATGATGATCTACCACAGCCTTCGTTGTTTGGTTACACTCTTGTGGCCAAAATTGCGTTTGACAAGTGGACCAAAAGAAATGTGGTCTGCATGGTCGTCGTCGTCGTAGTCGTCTTCTGCTTGGGGCCCAGAGAATGAGAATAAGATTTCAACACTTCTGCCGTACGCGGCGACAGTTCAAAATTTTAGTTTGTGAGCAGAAGTTAAACGATCTAGACGACGAAAAACATATCGACGGTGCGATTCGCAAGAGAAACAAATTGTCTAAAGTCGGACGACAATTCATTTATTTGTGAACGGCACGCGAGTTATGTAAGAAACGCTATTTAGGCCGAAACATTAAAAATAAAATGTACACAGTTTAATGGAAGTAAAGGAATACATTTTTGTTACAACTAAAAATTTGTTCAAAATCTAAATTAAATCGATGATAACGAATCCAAAAAACGGCGAACAAGATACGATAAAATATACATATATATAAAATTATAAAATTTAATATTTAAATAAGAACAAAAAAAAATCAAAGTGCAAAGAACGGAAACAGGAAGTGTAAGCAATATAGTATTTAAAAAATTTCAAAAGCAATAAAAAAGGCATAAAAGAAATTAAAGAATAATTTCAAATTAAAACAAAAAAAAAAAACTAGAAAAGAATTCTTCTAAAAATAAATTGTGAAAATTTTTGCCTATAAAAGTCTCAAAATTTGCTTTGTGCGGCATTTAAAAATAGTTGTCGATATTTCAAAAATAACACAACAACGTCTCCCTGGGCTTACTTACACTGCCACTAGCAGCAGCAGCAAACCACATCGTCATTTATCTTCACGTCACCACCACCAGCGGCAGCAACATCACCGGCAGCCGACTAGATTGCCAGCCAGCCAGCCTGCCTTCTTGTCTGCTGCCTTTCTTCCTACCTCACCAACATCGGTTCTTTCACACACGCCATACATTTGCATTTTGTTTTCCTCACCGCCGATGCTGATGCTGCTGACAAAATTTATTTTTGGCCATTGAAAATAGAACAATATTTGCAATATGGGTCTTTGGATTATTTTGGCCTGACTTAAGAATAGACTCCGAAGATCTGTTAGTTTGGAACTATGAAAATCTAGCGATGCATATTTTTTCTCCCAAGATGTAGACTTCCTGTGGAGAGTGCATTTCGCTCATTACGGAAGTGTGGAAGTGAGAGCCAGAGAGAAAAAGAGTGATGCATGCAAACACGTTTCCGTTGTTTTTCTCAAAATTTCTCTCTAATTCTACTATTTTATCGCTCTCCCTCTCTCCATGTTAATCTTACTCATTCTCTTGGAAAACAATAATTCATTTATTTTTGTAATATCCATCTTAGAAAAATAAACAATAAAAGAGATACATATACGGAAAAGTGTTTCCAACTCTGCGAGAATATAAATTGCGAAATTTAAAATATATAAAATATATCGATAGAGAACACAATTTTGAAAGAAATATTTTGAAAATAAAGAAGAAAAAGGAAGACCAATTACCTATAATGCAGTAGTATTTAAAATAAAAATACGAACAAAACAACTTATGGTTTTAGGTAAATGAAACAGGAGTTCTTATCGTCAAATCTGACCAGCTTGACTGTTATACTTCAACATCACATATAGAAAAAGTAGATAGAAAGAAGCCCTAAAAACTCTGAACCATCGTCAACACTCCGAGTTGTTCAGTTGAACAAAAAATTATTCCAGGCTACAAGCACATGCCCGTCTATGTTTAATTTGCAGTTCAATGGAACCAAAACTGTGATCGATAATGAATACAAGTTGTTGCTTTATTGTAGCACAAAATACATTTTAGCCGGTTTGGATCAAATTTCGCAGAATTAAATCAATTCTTAGACCGAACTTTGGTTGTGCATGAAAAGTTTTATAATTTCACAGAGATCGCTCTTCATTTCTATAAAAGTAGATGAATAGCTTAAATGCGGAAAGAGAATTTTAAAAGAGTAAGGTTCTTTCAGAAGAGAAGGTTCAGAAGGCATTCTTATACCAAAAGGCAGAACCTTAAAGAAAAGACCAGAAAATGTTTTTACATAAAAGGTGATCAAACACAGCAGAACCAAAAATTATGGCTGTTATATTCTTATAATACAAGACAAATTGTTAATATAGAAGACCAAAGCACCTTCTTAAACAAGGCCTTCTCACATAAGGAACACAGATAATTTAAAGGTCTTCTAATGGAAAATAACTGATTATGTTTTGAAAAAATTCTGAACTTTTGCTAGGGAAGCACCATATAGCGTGGACTGATACATTCGATGTTCCCACTGCTATAATATTGGTCAAAATTTTGAGATGTGCACTGATATCAGAGGTGTAATTGTTCAACAAGTAAAAAACAGCCAAGTTCGGCTGTTTTCACAACTTGTTTCCACAACTTGGAAAGAACTTGAAAATTAAAAAAATAACTCTGAAAAATGCCGCATAAATGAAAAAGGTTATATAGAGGGCTATACGAAGACCTGATCTTACATGTAATTTTTTGTCATAGGCTGTAGTCCCCATTAAGATCTTCAAATATGAAATGTGAAACAATTCCGTTGAATAATGTCGCTAATACCATCAAAATACCGAATAAAGGGAGATACCGTTATATGGGGACTATAAGAAGACATGGAACTTAATACGAAATTTTTTTGTCATGGGCTGTAGTATTCCATTACAATCTTCGAGTACGAAATTTGAAAAATTATGTCGCTAAAATTATCAAAATATCGACTATCAGGAGGAACCATTATATGGGACAATACGAAAACGTGTGTGCAAAATTTGGTTTGAGCGCACACGTACTTGTTTGTTAGGTGAACAATTGGTCAGAAGTTCGCCTCATAAAGAAGACCAGAAACTTGTTTCACCTGCAAGGCTAGTGATCTGTAGGATACAAGAACATCTACTAAAAAAATAAATATAAGACAAGATTGGTGGCCCTTTTTATGATCGAAGTGTAGAAGAGAATCCGCTCCAACAGGTCAAAAAGTTACTGTCTGAAATGGAGACGATATGTTTTCAATATTTTCCATTTTTAAACCTGATCTAAGTCTTATGTAAGTTTCACGAAATGCCAAGTTTAAACTGATTCGGGAACTCCATTCGCTTAACATGAGATTTTGAGGTTTTTTATAGCAAAATGTTGACCTGTTGTAGGGGAGGAACCAGACACATTCGATTTTCCCACTTCCTCAATACAGGGGAAAATATTAAGATGTGATAATATTGAAGGAAAGAGGACGCTGATGTAAGATATTAAAAGAGGTATAATTATTCAAAAATGTTCACCACTTATGGATGAGGGGCTAAAAAGGTGGGTCAGTATTGTCCAATAGGCTGGGAATCCTCTGAAATATTCACATATTGCAAAATAGTGTTATAATATATTTTTCTAAGGTTTTCCGGAAATTTTATAGGCTTCAATAGGCTTCAATTTAAAGGGAGCTTTAGAATGTTTCTCCAAAAATGTGCTTTTCTTTCCTCATAACATTTGTGTGCATGTGTGTGTGCAACAGCAAACGGGGTGATGATGTACAAAATCAGAGAAGCAAAAAAAGCAACAATATGCTTGGTTGGTACATATAAGCGATAATGTTTTTGAGCGTGTTTGATTTGCTGTTGTCGCTTGAAATACGACAACGCTATAAAAAATTAAAGGAGTGCCCGGAAAGAGAAAAATCTGCTCGTTTTCGAACGAACCAGAAAAAACTCCAGAAGTGCTCCCACTGTGCTTTTTGCGAGTTTCACTCCTTACACGAATTTTCGGAAGTCTAATGTAGCATTCTGCCTCCGCTCAATACGATGTTTATATTGTTCGTCTGGAATAGGACGAAATAGCTTCAAGCCTGCTGCTCCTTGAAAATAAAAGTTGGCTACCAACACAATAAAGACATTCGTAAAAGAACAAAAAAAATAGATCTACCAGAACCTGGAAGTATTCTGCTTATATGGAAGACACATTCTGCATTGGCCTTTAAATCACTTTTTCTTTCCTTTTTGTTTGTTTTTCAAACTCTGTATTATTTCACTTCAAATTTTTTGTTCAATTTTTACCAGAAATGCGAAGCAGTAACCCAAAATGGGGACTCCCTTCTACTTCAGTGACAAATTATTAATGAATATTGAATAAGACAAAGTCGAACAGTTGTCAGCGTTTAAAACTGGGCAATAATCGCCAAATTTGCATTACTGATTTGAAACTCAATTGTACTCACGAATGCCACACACCAGCATGCGTTCAGAGATCACTGGTGTCGGATGGTAGATTGCGTTACTCATACCCCATATGGCACACACAATGTCAAATGAAAACTTTTATATATTTTTTTCGAATTTTATTATATCTCAAAACTAATTTCAATAACATATTCAACATTTATAGAAATATTTGAGTTTCTTTTAATTTATTTTTCGCTCTCATAGTTTCTTGTATTTTCTATTTTCTATATTCGAGAGTATTTTGTGGCTTCCCAAAGCCAAAGGAGCGTTTGTCATCGCCTTTAATGATGTGTTTTTGTTTTCAAAAGAAAATATTTTTCAAAGTTTTCTTTTTCGTTTGGCCTCAGCCGTTAGCAGTCCCTCTTTCCCGCCATCTGAATCTCGATTTTTTGTTTTTTTTTTCCATTTCCCACAAAAGCTGAAAAAATTCATATGCTTGAGGAAAATATTTTTATAACATTTGCCTCATTCGTCGCATACACACGCCAATTTTCTTGTAAAGAACGATCGGCTGTTTTTGCCAAAAAAAATTAAATAAAATATTTAGCCTTAAGCCCTCGAAACAAATATGAAATAAAATTTTTGGTGTAAATCTAATTTTCATTTAGCACGGAAATGGCCTTACAAGCAAATAATAGAAATTTATTAATGCGCAATGAACGCACCATGCCAGCCTGGGTGGTAAGTTGGAATATGGGAAAAATATGAGAAAATATAATTTTGACAAAATATTCACAAATTCTAGACGGAGCAAAGTGATCGCGTGGGACCCAAACCGCCGCCACCTCCCCTGGCCACAGAAAATGGCCATGTAACAGCACCAGCAAAACAGCCAGCATTGCCACCCAAAACTTCTGCCCAACCCGAGCCGGACTATGAAGTTATTGAGTTTTCAAATCAGCAATATTCGAACACGCCAATGCGACCCTCTTCGGCCAGCTCTGGTTCCAAGACACCAGGTATGTATGAGTTTGGGTTAAGTGTAAAAAGGAGAATGAGTTGCTAAAGAAAATTGTCACCATTACAGATACCAAATTGAAATGCACCCTTTGTGGTTCATCGAATCCCTGGGTCATGTGTGAAGAGTGCTCCAAACAAATATTTTGCGCCTCGTGCGATGATATGTTCCACAAGCACCCCAAGCGTAAAAATCACCAAAGGAAGGTAAGGAAATAAAAATTTGGAAGAGATTTTATTATAAGAAGCGTTAGAGTTTTTTTATGTATAAAATTTGCGTTTAATAGTAGAGGGGGGGGGGGGGGGGGGGGGGGGGAGTAAAACAGAATTCCTACTAAAAATGGATAAATATGAGTCATGACGAATTTGTAGATTTAGAGGGAATTTTTTGGAGAACTTAGCTCTTCATTCCCATATTTTCTTAATCAAAGTGGATCTTTCAGAGTTAAACGGGAATTAAAAAATTTGGTCTAAAATCAATATTTGGAGACTTTACAGCCCTTGAAAAAAAAAAACAAGGTGTATATCCTCAAATAGTCCTTCCATTTTTTTAAATATTTTATTGAGAAAAAGGAAATCTGAAATCTCGATATATGGATATTTAATAGATAGATGGGTTATAGATGGGAAAATCTAAATGAAAGGGGTGCCTGGAAGACTTTTTCTTTATAGAGGATATTTCAAAATATTAATTTGCTAAGAGTGTCCAATTACAGACTCTATTTCTATAGAAGAGTCATAAAATTCAACCTTCAAAACCTATGAAGGTATTTCAATACTTCTTTTTTCAACAAAAAAAAAACTAAGGGTCTGTAAAAAACCTATGGTAAAATCTGAAGTATTAGGCTTTTCTTTTTCTCATACAATCAAATAGTCCCGTTTTCCCACTTTTCCAAAATATTCCAAAAATAATTCAGCATTACTCCTGTCTGTTTTCAACACTCTTAAATTCAATTTATATAAAATTTCATTTTAAAATTTTTCAAAATTATAAAATACTTTTTTATTTTCTACCAACTTTTTTACAGACTCTAGAACAAAGCAATCCACCACTACCACCCAAACTTCTGCCCGGTCAACCTGGACCCGCACCGCCAGTGGCCCCACCAAGACGCAACAAACGTGGGCTTATGACACCTCTCATGCAACGCAAGGATCAGGTACGCTTCTGCACGATTTTCTAAACGCGAAACATTGCGTATTTCTCGGCTCGTTGACAAAACATACCTTCGTTCGTTTTAAACAAAGATTTGCTTGCTACCCCCTGGCCGAAACAAATTTTGTAACAGCTTCAAACCAGACAAACAAACATCCAACAACTTTTTTGAAATTGAAATAAAAACAGCATTTGAAAAAAAAACCAACTAAAACTCATTGGTCATTGACTCTGTATTTTGAATTTTTCAAATAGGTCAACTCGGCAGCATTGCCCATACCGCCCTCCCCAACGCCCTCCATGAAAAATGCCTCCTGGCATGAGCGTGTAGGCTCTCTGAAACGTGGCTTGAGCATTTTGAATCGACCACTACCGGAAACACCCAAAACACCCACCACTCCCAGTGAGTCGTCACGCTGTACTACCCCCAAATCGGTATTTGACAATATACAACGGCCGCCCTCGGTGGTCTTGGAGAAGATAAAGAACAAAGCGAATGCCACACTAGATCGCATGCAGATGTTGCAGCAACGCTACCGTCAACAGAAAGAGCAAATGGAAAGAGATCGCAACGGCTATAGCAGTGAGCAACAGGTAAACAATCAAGAGGAGAGCTAAATTCTCCCATCTCTCTCCATCTCTGTCACTCTCATAATCTGTGTGAGAGCAGAACTATCTTGTTTTTATTTTTCACATTGAGAAATATTTTCCCCCAACATTTCCTCTCATTCGAAAATTCACAACAATTGTCTTTTTCCCATTGTGTTTTCTCCCACACACCCCGACCTCACCCACACAAACAATTGTTGTTCACGATGACGTCTCTGTGGTGTATCTGGCATCCTTTGAAATGTGTGTGTGTACGTGTACGTGTATGTCTCTGTCCATTGTCATGTTGGTGTTGGGTAATGGAATGGATCCGCCATCGTCTCGAATCGCCTCTCTCAGAATCACAATGCATTTGATCAGTGGTCTAGCATTTCACCATCGCCATCACATTTTCCTTCTGGCAGCATGTCATCCGGTATCAACTCATCTCATCTTGATCTAACGGACGATTCAAGTTTCAATTTGTTCCACCAGCGCCAGCTGGCCCTGCAGCATCACAAGTTGGCGGCCCAAAGGGCAAATCAGCTGGGTCAGCGTGGCATGTCATCATCGGTGTTTAATTTGAATCAAGCCAGTCGCAAGCCGCCGTCCATGAACAATGGCTGGTCCAACAATCCAATGCATCAGGTGGGTCTGCAACGAATTCCAAAGAGAGGAGCCACATTTTAATATAATTTTCTTATTTTTGTCTCCCAGGCCCAATCCATGGCGCAGCTGAACTGTGCCAATTGCAGTCACCCACAGCAAGGTAGCTGGGGACACCAGCATCACATGCCCATGAATCACCATGACCCATGGAGCAATCAATTGAGTTCTCAGCAACATTTAAATCGCTCCAACCTGTCCTTGAATGTATCAGCCGGTTACATAATGCCTCCCCAGCACAGTGGCATGTATCCACCGCCAGTTTTTATGAATCAACGGGGCATGATGGGTCAGATGTTTGCCCAACCGTATATGCCGGGAATGCCGGTCATGAATCCAGGTGGGTCCCATATGGGAGGAAATAAATTATGTTTTGATATTAAATTTTGTCTTCTTCATTTTCAGGTCTGGTTGGCATGCCTCCCTCTGCTTCTAGGGCTGCCTCGCGAGCAGGCTCACGCATGGCCTCTCCGGCCTTGAGTCGCAAATCGGTTACTCTCCGACGAAAACAACGCGCCAGCTATCATAATGATGAGGCCACCGATGATGAGGATTCCGATGAAGATGATCGCCGTTCGATGGTCTCAAATCGTTCAGCCATGTCGAGGACAAGACAGCGACGTATGTCCAGCGCATCACAAATCCAACTGGAAGAAGATTTGGATTCGGGTCAGCAGCGGTCACGTGTTCGCAGTCAACGCAGAGATTCTGTGGCGAAGTCGGTACACAACGATTGGGCGCCGGGTAGAAAAATCTCCAGCAGCAATAATCGCTCCGGTGACTCTGGCTTTAATAGTCCCCGGCAAAAGCCGGCAGCAGCAAATCGTATATATTCCGATTTAGATTCTGAGGGTTCGGGTACCAGGGCCTTGGTCCAAGCCAAAATCGAACAAAAACTCAAAGAGGAATCCCTGAAGCAGCAGAAACAAGGCAAATCCAAGCGTCGAAGTGAGTCACCGCCCAAACAAAAGCAATCAATGGCAGTTCAAACTCTTGCCAAGAAAAAGGAGGAGAAGCCACCAGAGAAACCGGCTAGCGAAAGTGAATCGGAAGAAGAGGTGGAGGAAGAGGAGGAGGAAGAAGAGCAGGAAGAAGACCAAGTTGAGGAGCAGCAACAAACAAATGACTCAAAAACAACAACAACAGATGAATCCCAAAAACCACAACAAAATGGCGAAGTTAATGGCGTCGAACCTGATCCAGTCTTGGAAGATGAAGACGCCGAATCCTTGGGACCACCACCCTCTACACCAGACCAGGAATGGGAATGTGAATTTTGCACCTTTGTTAATGAGCCCAACATAAAAATCTGTACCATTTGCTGTAAAACGCCCAGCAAGCCGCCCAAGCTGGTGGCCAAGTCCATATCACCACCCAAACAAGTTCCAGCTGTGAAAACAACAAAGGATTCAAAAAGTGGTACGATCAAAAGAGTAACAGCTACAACAACGGATAAGGGAAAATCCATACTCGCCAAGAATACAACAACAACAACACCATCAGTCACAACTACGTCATCATCATCCACCACAGCAACCAATAACGATGCCATAACAGAATCATCCTCCTCTCAGAACTCCACTAACACACTAAAAAAGAAAGGTAGGCCAAGGAGAATCTCATTTCTGGAAGGAACCAAATTTAGCTAAGACACCAACCCGCCCATGCACATATCCCAAGTTCCTCCTCTCCTTCGGCTATCTAACTGACTCATTAATAATTAATAATGATCTTCATTAGTTTAAGTAACAACAATTTTGTAAGACAACAAAATACAACAACATTGACATTTTTTACTAACCATAACAACAGCAACAACAAATACACCTTACCCTTGAAACACAATATTTGTGGTTGTTTTATTAATCTTCTGTGTTTGATTGAATTTTATAGAATCGGTAGAAGATATTTGGGCGGCATTGGATGAAAATATACAGGCCACGGCCAATGAAGTGACACGCAAAGCCGAAACTGCCTCCTCAACGTCCGTCTCAGCCACATCGGCCAAGAAAGCTACCACCAAGGTGTCGACCGGCTGTGGCACCACCACGACACGTGACAAATCGGCCAGTATTGAGCGACAAGTAGAAGAGACGCGCAAATCTCAGGCCAGGGAAATAGGCACTTCGCCACCACCTCAGACCATTTCCACTCAAGTAGGTTTTTATGAATTTACGAAGATAGATTTCTCCAAAAAAAAATTAAAATCCCACTTTTTCTTCTCTTAGACCTATGAAACTTTGCCTTTACGAAAAATTGCCGACAAAGAAGAGTCTCCCTCGGTTAAACCTTTGCAAACCAATGGCATTCAGGAACCGATACAGGTGAGTTGTTGTTTTCACTGGACGTTCGCTCATATTTCATGAGTATGTGAAATTTTTGCATAACTTTGAATCTCAGGTGGTCTTTAAAATAGGGAGATTTTGGCGATATAAGAAAGGGCTTTATCGATTGAACTGCTACATATTTAGGCTCCTGAAGAGAACTTTATAAAAATGTAAATTTGTGCATAGGCGGGATTTTTGGAAATTGGTACTAAAAGTGTATGAAAAATTTATTTTGTATTGAACAAACGGAATGAGCTAGAAATCTGAAATTTGGAATGAGAATTACTGATGGATTGCAGGATAGATCAATTAGATACTGAAGGGTTTTTGGAAATTCCAACTTTAAGGTAACGTAGAGTTCCAAAATGGTACCATTAGTATTTGAACGGATAGAGCTAAAAAGTTGAAATTTGGTTGGAAAATAAGTTTGATATATAAAGGTAGTTTTGGAAATATGTACTAAGTGCGCGAACTGTACTAAATGGTACTTAATTTGAAACTGTTTGATTTAGGGTGAACAGATGAAGCTGGAATTTAGAAAATTTGTATTGAGGTTCCTTTTGGTGGTAGGTTTGTAATAATGAGACGGTTTTGGCAATGTGTACTACAAGTTCACGAAAAGTAGTAAATAGTACTAACTTTGGTATTGGATGAATGGATAGGGCTGGAATCCTCAAATTTGATATTGAGATCTCTGTTGACATCTGCGAGTGAGATATTTAGGTGATTTTGGAAATGTGTATTATAATTGTACAAAAAGTACTAGATAGTACTAAATTGGGAATTGGCTTAAGGGTTAGAGCTGGAATCCTGAAATTTGTTTTGGATAGAAATATTGGATAATTCCTCCTCGATAAAATTCACAATGAACGATTCTGAAGACTTGTTGGTATAAAGGATACCATTTTCCCAATATTCTTTCCGAAAAAGACAATTTGTGTCGGGCCGAACTTCCGGAAACTACAACTTAAATGAAAACTGTTATATGGAGACTATTTTTTGACATAGGCTGTAGTACCCATACGAACTTTAAATACGAAATTTGTTACAATTCCGATGAATAATGTCGCACAAATCATAAAAATACCGAGTATTGAGAGGTATCGTCACATGGGGGTTATACGAAGACGTAGACCTGGATGCAAAAATTTTTGTCATAGGCTTTAGCACCCATTATGAACTTCAAATACGAAATTTGAAATAATTCCGGTAAATAATGTCGCTAATTTAATGAAAATACCGAATATCGGTAGGTACCGTTATATAGGGGCTATAGGAAGACTTGGACCTGCATACGAAATTGTTTTCCATAGGTTGTAGTAACCATTAAGATCTCCCAATACGAAATTTGAAACGATTCCGGTGAATAATGTTGCTGAAATTATCAAAATACCGAATATCGGGAGCTACGGTTATGGGGGCTATACGAAGACGTGGGCCGACTACAAAAGTATTAAAAACTATGTTTTTGGGCAAAAATTCTATTTTTCTTCGGCTATATTCTTCAAATTTCCTTCAAAGTCAACTAATTATGCGAGACATTAGATAAGGTTATTCTGAAAATTCGTACTAAAATAGTACTCAAAACTGTGTTTTGGAACTGAATTCCTGAAATTTGATATTTGGCTTTACCTAAAGGGGGTTAAAATTGGGTCAAAAATAATTTTTAAAAATCGTACATTTTTTGTACGAAACTCGTACCAAAAAACCTTTAAATTAATATGGGAGGCCGCTTCTGGTGCAAGGAGTCGTTAATGTTATCAAATCAAAAAATTTTTAAATACTAAATAGTTCTTGAGCCTTATACATTCAGAGTTAGAACCTTGTCAACGTTAGATAATTCCAATTATTGAAAATAAGTACTAAATTTTTTACTGTTAGAGCTACAAACTCTCTTAAATTCCATTTTTATCACCATCTCCATTTCATTTCTTTGTTCCCTTTTGAACAGACGACTTTTCCCACTACGAATAAAATTCATGACCTGAAATCATTCGAGAATGAAGTTCTTCACAACATACACAACATCTCCCACATTGCCTCCAATCCGTATCAACAATTCCAAAACAGTCACCACCAGCAATCCTATTATCCCAATCACGAGCGTTATCAGAGGTATCGCAGTAACAATGACTTACGTATGGATGACTCGATGTCCATGGACTTTGAGGCATATCATGGCGGGGGAGGTGGCATGGGAAGGCGTCACCCCTCGATAAGTGAACTGCTGCTATTGCAAAGAGTAAATATTTCCAAATGTCATTTAACCCTTCCTTTCATTTCCTCTAATCATTCTCATTTACTCCAACACAGGCATCATCACAAATGCATTCCCCTCTGACCGGCAGTAGCTATGACTTGTCATCATATCGTCACAGTGGCATGGATCATCACAAAGTATAGCCTTATAAAGTTTACTTTTTTCCAGTACTAATTTACTCTCCTCTTTTCTCAAATTCTCATAGGAATCCGATTTGTTGAAATACACCTCGGAGGAACTTAATGCCGCCCTGAAATATTGTGGACCCGATATGCATCCCTTGATTTGGTTAAGAGACAACTGGCCGAAGTTGATACAGACGGTCCAGAGTTTGGCCACCAAATATGGCCAAGAACGGGCGGAGAATACCATTGGCACCATTTCCCAAATGGAGGCCCGTGAAGCTTTACGCCTGCACACCGGCAATATTTGGCAAGCTGTTTCAGAATGCATTGAACAACGTCAACGCAAGTATCGTGAGATATCCAGCAAGGGCAATTTCTCTCGCGAAGATGTGGTCACGGCACTGACCACTCACCAGGGCAATGTTGAAATGGCTCTCATGGATTTGGGTCGTAATCAGCTGAAACCCTTTCTCATGCGCATTTGGGGCTCACCCGGTGGGGTAGAGAATGAAAGTGGATCCATGATCATACCCCCCTCATCGCACTCGAACGACTCCTACAGCATGGACAAAGGTTAGCTAAGCCTACGGCAAAGGCCATAGCTCTCTTTTCTCTTCTCTCTCGATTGTATCTCGCCCATCATCAATTGCTCATAACGGTTTTTCGTTCTCTTCCTTTTTCTCATTTTTTAGACATTCATAACTTTCTCAGTGCCAATGCTTCTGACTGCATGCAAATCCCCAATGCGAATGGAGCTTTTCCATCACCCAACACCAGTCAAGCACCACCCTCCCCATTCGATCTGCCCGAATCAGTAATGAATGCCTATGACTCACACCACCATCTGCCAGACAACACATCCACCTACAGCAGTAATGCCAGCAGCATTAAAGACTTTGCCGCCAGTCCTCAACCTCCACCACCACTGCCACCTCCCATCGATGATGCCATCCTCAATAACAAAAGTATGCTAAAAGATTTGGAATCCCTAATCGGCAGCATGGAACAGAATCAGCAAAAACAAAACGAACAGGTGCTCAGATCCATAAAAGACATGATTGACAATATGAAAAAGGACAAAACGGACATGGCGGACTATGATGATCCCGAGGACATGCGCATACTAACCAAGAGTCCCATTAACACATCCAAATTCAAGCAGCAGCAGCAACAATCCTCCGCGGAAAATGCGGCAGATGTCAAGAATTTTGTGTGGCAGCATATCCAGGAAATTGTTCCGAATTTGGTTCAACAAGTCGAAATGGAGCTGTTGGAAGATAGTGAGGCCACCACCAAATTGGAAATTCCACCTGAGAACCACGAACCTACTGAGGAGGAGCAAGGCGAAGAAGAAGAGGAAGAAGAAATTACAGCACCACTTCCACCCCCTCCACCACCCATAGACCAAGATGAGTTCCTCATGGAGGAGGTTATAAAACCCAATTTAAGAAATGCTTCCATTAGAGAGGAGCTTCCTCCTGAATATGTCTACACAGCTGAGATAGCCACCTTCCAAATGGCCTTCGACAAGGCTTTGCAGAGGGAGCACCAGCAACAGTTTAAATATGATTCGTTGAGGAATGCCTACAGAGAGGTTTACAAAATGTACTTGGCACCTGCAGTTCAGGAGAGTGTGGGCCAAACTATTCCCGCCACTATTCATGACTTCGCTGGGGGATCTCCAGAGCTGGGAATTCCAACGACAATAGAAGACTTGCCATTACCTCCAGTGGGAGGACAGGTTGTGCCTGCGCCGGAAGTGCCAAAGGAGGAGGTTAAAGTTGAGGAGTCGCATGGTGAAAATAAGGATCAACTAAATGAAGTCTCCGAAGCTTCGACAACTCAGTCCGTTGTCACAGAAGGAGTCTCTAGGAAGGAAATGAGAACTGAAGGAACCTTCAAGAACGTTTCCAGAGAGGAAGAAGCCTCAAAGGAAGAAGTATCAGAATCATCTAGGGAAATGGAACAGCCAAGTAGTTCCTCGGCATTGAGAGAAATGGAAGACCAATCTGTTACCCAACCCAGTACATCAACGGAAGTCCTTGAAGAAACAAAAGTAATTGAAAAATCGCAAGAAAATGGCGTGGAAAATACTTCAACTGCATTCGAGGAAATTCCACAAACTGCAACGACTCAACTAAAAAATAATGACGTTTCTCCAATAATTTCTCAACCTCCATCTGCTGAAGAATCACCAAAGGAGACAGACTCAAGTTCACAAGAAAATCAGCAGGGATTGCCTGAAGAAACTTTAAGCTCCCCTGTTCCAGATGAAAGTAGTTCAAATGTAATATCGAAGGAAACCCCAAGTCCTGCCACAAATATACCAGAAGAATCCACCGAATCCGATGCCAATAGTCCCAGCTCTGCACAAACCTCGAATGAAACCACTACACCTCCCCTGAGTGAGGCCACGATGTCTGTGACGCCGACCGATGACAATTTAAGTTATAAATCGACCAGAAGTTCTGTGGAACCTGTGGATATTGCCGCAGACACATCCTCCTCCCCAATAGGAGATCCAGAAGAAGCCAAAACAGAGCCACAATTAATTGAAGCCTCAGACACTACTGAGGCTATTAATGATAATTCAACCCAGGCTCCCAATGAAGAACCGGTTCAGATTCCAACCTCTAGGGATGCCCTCTCTAACAATTTAGCCCAGGCTCCCAATGAAGAACCGGTTCAGATTTCAACAACTAAGGATACCCCCTCAATACAATCTCAAGCCAATAGTGCCAAAGAGGAGCATCCATTACTGGAGACAAATAAATCAGAGGACATTGTAAGCTCACCCAAAGACACGCCCTCAACAGAATATCCTCAGGCAACAACCTCCCAGCAGGATGCTACTGTTTCCGCAATGGTTGGCACTCAATTAAGCATTTCATCGGAAAATCAAGCCTCTGGCCCTGGAACTGAAAAGAAACCACCAGCCACTGAAAAAACTGCCAAAAGAATATCCAAAATTCCAGTGCGGAGAACCGCAAGTAATACCAGCTTAATTTTGACAACAACACCGGCGTCTAAAGCACCCCAACCAAGCCCACAACAAATTGAACCACCCCAGACACATGTTCCCGCAGAAACGAAAGAATCTAAAGTACAAACACCTCAGGCGAACAATAATGAAACCCCCTCCGCCAATATTCCAAATGAAGCCGAAGATGATTCCGAGGACGAGCTTTACAGTCTGGCAAGTGATTCATCTCTCGACGAAATCGACACCCGTACCTACGTCCAATCACCCACCGATACGGAGTCGCGATTCGATGATGTCCAATCCCCCACGAGTACCAATGAAATGTTCCTCATGATTCAACATGACACGGGGGAGACCTCAATGGAAGAGAGTACTGTAGTGCCATCGACCAGCAGCTCTACCGTCCATTCGGCGATCAGCTTTTCATCGGGCCTTAAGTCACCGCCCAGTGAATTTATTCCCTCCGGAGATCCTAGTAAACAAAATCTCTCAGAATTGGTAAAGGATACTCAACGGCTAATCAAACAAATGAAAGAAGAAATCAACATGGATGATTTTGAGTCCTCCACCGATGAGGATGACTACACGGATGATTACAGTGATGAATACGATGAGGAGGAAGAATACGAAGAGGAGGAGGAATATGAAGAAGAGGAAGATGAAAATGATGATCTCGAGGATTTGAGTGAAGAAGACGAAGCAGAAGGCGTCGATGATGAAGAGGGTCAATGGGAAGATCAACCCGAAGAATTTAATGAAGTTATTGGAGATAGAAGTCACGATGATGATGAAGAGGAGGAGCAACCCAACATCGCAAGTAAAGATCAAGTTACACCTGAAACAGTTCACAATGAATCAGATCACACTCATGCCAATGCCTCACACTCGCCCGAGCATCATCTGGCATCATCTTCTTTCCCATCCTCATCTGAACATTTAATTCAAACTTCCACTGAATCTAATCAAACTCTCACTAATGACGAAACAATGGCTTATTTGGAAACAGAAAATCAAATTCCGGAAATATCAGCAGAAACGGTTTTGGCATCCAGTCTCAAGGAGGAAAGTTCAGCAGCTGAAGAATCCACTCAATCTGAAACCTTGACAACAATAAAAACCGAATCTATGCCGATGGCAATTGCTAATACTTTGGAAAGTGAAAATTCTTTGCCGGAACTTCCAACGGAAATTGTTCTAGCTCCAGTTACGGAAATGTTGCCGCCACAAACTGAAAATTCTATACCGGAATTACCAGCTGAGGCAGTTCTACCCCAAGAGCAAACTCTCACCAACACCTCCTCATCCACGGAAGTTATTAACACAGCTACTAACGATTCATCTCTGGCATCAGTCTCAGCATCATCCCCATCTCCATCATCATTGAGTAAAGATCATGAATTACCATCTACATCGGGTTCTACGACATCTCAAAAAGTATCCAAACAGGATTCTGTGGAAGTAGATGATACCAAACCCTCAACTAGCAAAGCCTCAACTGCCAAACCCAAAGCAACTGCAAACAAAAAGAAAGAGGATGCAAAGACAAATACCAAGAAACCGGCCACGGCCAGTAAAATACCTAAGCCCAGTAACAGTCAAAGGGATCCAAAAGCCAAAGCCAATACTGAGGCCACCAAGGAAACCACTAACAAATCCAAGGATCTTCCCAAAGATCCACCAAAGACCACAACTGGAACTCTCAAAAGCAAAACCGAACCTAAAATGATCCTACCCACACGCTCGAAATCATTTTCTGGACCGCCTACACCCATTGTCTTGACATCCGTCAAGACTATAACGCAACGTTTCCAAACGGTACAAAAGTCCCAGAACACCAAGCCACAACTGCAGAAGGCACCCACCACCATTGCCAGAAAACCATCCATTACCGAGGCCATAAATCGTCTCACAAAGCCCACCTCCACAAACAACAGCTCCGAATTACCCAGCACAAGTTCTTTGTTCAGAGCAAGAACCACTCCCCGGATACCGAAGAAGAAATATCATGAGACCTGTTTTTCGGATGACGATTATGAAAGTACCTCTACCGAGGAGGAACCCGAACCCATTGAAATAAGACAGCGTAAAATGAGTGTACCTGTATTTCGAGCTTATCCCAGTGTCCAGGAGCCCGAGGAGGTGAATACAGAGGTAAGAATGAATTTTATTCTCTCCCTTCGTTTTTTTAATCGTTTGCTTTTATATAAATGAAAATCCTCCTTTTCAGGAACTGGTAGATAAATTTGTGAAGGAGGAACTAGTTAATACCATTGCCGAAGCTCAAATTGCAGCTGCTTTAATCAGCATGAAATTCCAGCAGGATGTCTCCCTGTGGGCGGCCAAAGAATGCAGTGATTTGGAACATGCCATAGCTCTGCTCAAACAAGACTGTGAACTATGCAGCGGAACCTATGCCCTCAACGAAATTGTCTCAATGCTCAAATGTACGCACAAATGCTGCAAGCAATGTGCCAAAACCTATTTCACCGTACAGGTGAGTATTGGAGCAGTAAACCTTCCCAAGATCTTTCAGCTGGAGAAGGTTGATGTAAAGACAATTTCAAAAATATTTCAGTTCTTATCTAAACAGAAGATTTTCTTAGGGTAAAAAATAAACAAGAAAAAAAATCAGCTAAGTTCGGCTGGGCCGAACTTTGGAGGGTACTGAAACATTGTGAAGAAACTTCAAAAATGTAAAAAAAATCCTTCGAAAAATACCGCTTAAGAGGAAACAGTTATACGGGGGCTATACGAAGACGAAGTCCTGCATAAACAATTCTTGTCATGGGCTGTAGTACTCATGGCGAACTTTAAATACAAAATTTGAAACAACTCCGGTAAAAATGTCTCTAATAACATCAAACAGGAAACAATTCCGGCGAATAATGCGGCTAATATCTTCAAAATACCAAATATAGGGAGGGCCGTTATATGTAAGCTATAAAAAAAGTGGACCTACATAGACAATTTTCCATCATAGCTTCCGATTCGAGCTTCAAATACGAAATTTTATTCTGGTTAATAAAAAAAGTTCTCAAAATCATCAAACTACCGAATATCGGGATGTATCCTTATACAAGAGCTATACGAATATATGAACCTACATACGCAAAAAAATCCGTCAAAAATACCACTTGATTTAGTCCTACATAGACAATTTTCCGTCATATGCTATAGCACCCATTACGAAATTGAAATACGAAATTTGAAATAATTTCGGTAAAAAATGTCGCTAAAATTATGAAAATATCGAATATCAGGGTACCGTTTATGGGGCCTATTCGACATTGTGGACCTATATAGACAATTCTCTTCCAGCGGGCACAGAACTCAGAAGGAATTCCTTGTGTGGATTTTCAGAAAATTCCATTAAAAAATGTGGCTACAATCTTCAAAATACCGAATATTGGAAGATACCGTTATATGGAGGATATACGATATAGTGAACCTACAGAAACAATTCTCTTACAGGGGATAAAGTAGTCAGAAAGAAGTCCTTGTGTGGATTTTGAGACAATTCCACTCAAAATGTGGCTAAAATCATGAAAATACCGAACATCAGCATTTCAGACAATTCTATGTAAAAATGTGGCTAAAATCATCAATATACCGAATATCGGGAGGTACCGTTATACGGAGGCTCTACGATATCGTGGACCGATATAGCTCATCTTCGAACCTGAACTGACTGTACACAAAAGACTGATATATGCAACATTTTAGGTTCCTATCTTAATTCGTTTTTACTCTAGCGTGATTGCAACAGACGGACGGACAGGGCTAAATCGTCTGAGAATTTTTCGCTGATCAAGAATATTTATAATTTGGTAGGTCTAAAATTATTTCGATAAGTTGCAAACGGAGTGATGAACGTAATATATCCACCATAATACCACCACAGGGTATAAAAAAGGGGGTTCTATAGACAGAATAATTTTTAAGGGCCTTCTTCGAATACCTGCCATACCTCTTATAAAATGAATGGATCCCACAGTTCGTCAATAGGAAACCGTCTAAATGCCTTCATATGAGAAAAGACCTCCCTCAAATAAGAAAACTTCTATAAGTTTTTCTTAGAAATATGATCTTCAAATAATTTTAGGCCTTCCATTTATAGAAGACTTTCTAAAGATATTTCATTGTAAAAAATCTTCTTAAGATCTTTCTTAAATCGGACTTCTTAAAATATCCAAAAACTTATTTTTGTTTTTTAGCCAACTAGACGTCGTATTTATATAAAAGAACTGCTCCAGGTCTTTTAAAGCAAAAATACAATTTTTAGCTCTTAGATTAACGAATCTCTACACCTCATCTACAGGCAGAAAACCATCGAAAATTCTTCTGTAATTAAAATTACTTCTATAGCTTGCCTATAACTTATAAAATTCTTTTATAAATAAAAGGGCCACTTAAGCTATTTTAAAAACAGGATGCATTCTTAAAGCCTTATAGAGAGAGAATACAGTTTTAGTTCTTCTCAGAACTTAAATGATTCTCTTTTCATATGAGAGGATACAACTCTCTCTCAAAATGTTATGACATCTATAGCATATAATATCGTTAATATATAAACATTATCTACAAATAATAACTTCTTTATATCTCTCCCTCTCTGTCTCTCTATCCCTCTCTTTCATCTTTCACATATTTGCCCTATAGATAACCGAACGCAGTATTAACGATTGCAATTGTCCCTTCTGCAAAATACCCGAATTGCACAATCAAAGCGAACACGAAGATGACAATTTGGAATATTTTTCAAATTTGGATATTTTCCTCAAGAATATTGTCGAACCCGAGGTGCATGAACTTTTCCAACGTAAGCTAAGAGATCGCACCTTGCTCAAAGATCCAAATTTCAAATGGTGTGTTCAGTGTTCGTCGGGATTCTTTGCAAGACCGAAACAAAAGAGATTGATTTGTCCCGATTGTGGTTCGGTGACATGTGCTTCGTGCCGGAAAACGGTGAGTAAGATGAAAGTAGAAGGAGTAATACCAAAAAATAATATTTGTTGCTTGTTTTTTTCTCCACAGTGGCAAAAACAACACGAGGGCATTTCTTGTGAGAAATTCTTGGAATGGGAAATGGCCAATGATCCGGCTGCCCAGGCCCTGGGCGTAAAGGAGCATTTAGATCAAAATGGCATTGATTGTCCCAAGTGTAAATTTAGATATTCTCTTGCCAGGTGGGTTTCTCTTTGAGAGAGAAAAACGACGTTATTACCAATATTATTTATGATTTCCATAATTATTACAGAGGAGGTTGCATGCATTTCACCTGCACCCAATGCAAATACGAATTTTGCTATGGCTGTGCCAAACCCTTTATGATGGGTGCCAAATGCACCATATCACCGTATTGTGCCAAACTTGGTCTACACGCCCATCACCCCCGTAATTGTCTATTCTATTTAAGAGATAAATTGCCCGTGCAATTGCAAATTCTGTTGAAGAATAATGGCGTGTCCTTCGAAGTGGATCCCATCGAAACACAGGATGATGGCAACGTTCCCGGCTCGTCACAAAAACAGGCTCCCCTCTGTCCCATTCCCATACAAAAGGAGACACCGAATGGTTTGGTGGACACAAAATGTAATAGTGATGTGCCCGATAAACATGCGGGAATGTGTCGGTGAGTAGATGTAGCCATTAAGGGTAGTTAGGCAAGTCTGAGGAAAGATAGGCGTGTCCATTCCAAGATTTGAGTTTTGAATCAGAAATCATAATCAAAAATCAGAATCAGAAATCATAATCACGTTACGCATTTTACTATAAGGCAAGGAAGGGGTAATGTGGGAAAAATCAAACAATGCAACCCTGTGGTGGAACCTAGTTCTGTCACTTACACGAATGAATCCAGGAACAAAATGAGTTTAGAAATTATTTTAAAATAAAAAAAAAATTGGAAACAAGTAAAAAAGTAGCTTAGTTTGGCCGGGCCGAACTTTTAATACCCTTCACCATTTGGAAAAAACTTGAAAATTTTCAAAAAAAAAATTCCGAAAACTACCACTTAAATGTGTTATATGGGGTCTATACGAAGACGTGGACCTGCATACGAAATTGTTTGTCATAGGTTGTAGTACCCATTAAGATCTACGAATATGAAATTTGAAACGATTGAGGTATGACAAGCTAATATACCCTCCATATAATGGCGGAGGGTATATTTAAAAACGTCGATTGTTCATAAAATATTGTTAATTTCCAAACCTATGACATTTCTTCACCGCGAACGTTCTAAATTTAAATTTTAAATGCAAATAAATTTGATAATATTTACTTGCAATATATTATATATGCTGACAAAAATTGGAGGTAAAAAAAATAACAATTAAAGAGTTTTTATAGCCTACCTTATATAGTTCTGCCATGGAAAGGTTCATTACCTAAAAATATATAAAAATAAAAATTCATTAACACAAATTACTTAAAATTAAAAATTATAATAGATTTATGGTTATTGCCTTCCTTTTATTATTGTAACATGGGTGGTACAATAAGACAAGGTAGTTCAAATTACCACAGAAAAATTAAATTTAAATTTCAATAACTCCTTGACAGGACCCACTATGTGGAATATTTAACAGCCAAAGTGGCCAAGGCCAAAATTGATCCCTTGCCCATTTTCGATTTGACTGATTGTGTTCAGGAGCTGCGTCGCCGTGGTATACCCCTGCCCGAGCGGGGTCCCTGGGATACAGATGAAATCTACAAAAATATGTGTGCTGAGGTAAGGTGGAATTTTGTTTGAATATCGAAAGTTATAATTAATGGTATTTTCCCTCCCCTTTCTTATTTACAGGTCATACAGAAGAACATACCGCTGGAAACGAATTAATTGTTCGAAAAACGCAAGGACTGTTTCATTATCACACACGCACTCATGTGCACACATAATCGTATATAATTTTTTTACACATTATTCATGCATTCATATATTAAATTATTTATAGTCGCATTCATCAATTTCATGTTTTATTATTATTTGTTTGTGTCTAATTATTTATTAATTGAAACACAATTTGCATTAACTTATATACAATTCGACAAAATAAAAATAAAGTAACGAAAAGTGGTTTTCGGTCTTAAGAGAATTTTTTGAATACAACATGGTAAGTTGGAGTGGAGTGTGTTAAGGGGGGTTTTGAGCACCTTCTGTCGGTAAAAAATTGTGTAATATCTTTTATCTACAAAAGTTATATGCAAGATATTATATCTGAAGAAGGTCTATAGAAAGTTATTTATTTACCGAAGACAAATATAAGGTACTCTGATAATAGAGGGGCCATGGAAGGTTTTCTATTTTTATAAAGACTATAATTAGTTTAAATAGTTTTTTTCCAGAAGAGAGAAAATTACACTTTCCTGGATGGTAAAATGCGGAAAAACTACTATAATACTGTACTTGTATGGCCTCTCCATAAAGTATATATTTCTCGGTTGCGAATGTAAATGTTAGATTTAAGTTAATTTAGATAGAATTTATTGCGAACAAGTATTCTACGGCCCAAGAAAACAAAGTAAAAGTCAAATCGATTGGAAAATATGGACTTGCAATAACTAAAATAAGGGATAATATATAACTGATGTACCAAAAGGTGTACATAAACTAAAGAACTAAGAACTAAAAATGCCTACATTTGGCTGAATTAAATGGAAAATATGGCTAAAACCTAAAAAAAACGCTTGAAATCGGAGTTATTCTTACAAAGGCCTATTCTAAATCACCCATTCTCTTTACTAATGATTCCGTATGTAATCCAAAAATCTCTATCAAATCTCATAGCTCGTTCCTAAATGACGCGAATTATATCTAAAACTATAGATGTCACTTTGTATACGATAAAAACTATGTTAGGGCCTTAACAACATTTGACCTATAACCCAGATCTCCTTGGGGGATTTGATCTTAAAACAAATACTATCAGGTACAATTGATATTTTCCAAAACCCTAAATGGCTATTGCACAGTGAAATTATAAGCAGCAGAGATAATTTGCAGTTTCAGAGAAAAACAAGTATTTTTTATCAACCAAAATGATTCTATTTTTATACCCTCCAACTTCAAAATGTTTGTAACATCCCCAAATATTCGTCGTAGACCCCATAAAGTATTCAGCATTCAGGTCTGTCTGTCCGTCTGTTGAAATCGCGATACAGGCCACATTATTTGACGTAGAGTTTCAAAATTTGACAGAACAGTTTGTATTGTGTATTGAAAATGTGATATATCGGTCCACGTTTTGGAATAGTCGCTATATAACGGTACCTGCCGATAATCGGTATTTTAATGATTTTCGACCCATTTTTATACCCTACACCACAAGGTGGCCAGGGTATTATGTCTTTGTGCATTTGTTTGTAACAGGCAAAAGGAAACGAGTTAGACCCATAGTTTCTTTTGATGATCTGCATAGAATCACATTCTGAGTTGATATATGCATGTCCGTCCGTCTGTCCGTCCGTCTGTCCATGTATTTTTGTAAACAAAGTGCAGTTCGCATTTATTGCCCTATCCAGATGAAATTTTGCACATATCATTTGTTTGGCCCAAGGACGAACCCTATTGAAATTGGAGATAATCGTTCAAAATTTAGATATAGCTCCTATATATATATTCGTCCGATTTGCCTTTTTTTGTGCCCAAATAGTATGGAATTTTGCACATACAAACAAATTAGGCCTGAAAATAAGTATGCCAAATTTGAACGAAATCGGTTCAGATATAGCTATAGCTCCCATATATATTGTTCATCTGATTTGTTATTTTTGTCCTCCGCAGTCGTAATATGCATTTTGTAACAACAATATTTGGGGAAATATATTAAATGCAGCTCAGAAATACCTTTGTTAAATTTTATCGAGATCGGTTCAGATTTGAATATAGCTCCCATATATAATTTCGTCTGATTTACCCTTTTTTGTGCACCAAACGTCTAATATTTGTCCAAATGGGATGGAATTTGGCACTTACGACCGAAGCTAGAAGCTAGTATACCAAATTTGGTGAAGATCGGTTCAGATATAGCTATAGCTCCCATATATAATGTTCATCCGATTTGTTATATTTGTTATCCACAGCCGTAATATGCACTCCGTAACAACGATATTCAGGGAAATATATCAAATACCTCTCAGAAATATATTTGCCAAATTTTATCGAGATCGGTGCCGATTTGGATATAGCTCCCATATATATCTTTATCCGATTTCTAATTAATTGTGCACCAAATGGGCAATACAAGTCCGAATTTAAATTATAATTATAATCGTAGCGTGTATGATCCCATTAAAACTTTTAATTGTTATGTGGAGCTCTACTAAATTAGCAAAGTGGTGTAGGGTATCATAAAGTCGGCCCCGCCCGACTTTTAGACTTTTTTTTACTGGTTTTCATTGTTTCTAGCTCCGGTGGTGAAACATTGTCTGTATAGTTCACCATTTTTGTATAGCCCCCGGTACTTCCCGATATTCGGTGTTTTGGGGAATTTTGCCACATTATGTCACGGATTTAAGAAGATTTTGATGACAATCCTTGAAGTATAAAATTGTCTACGGAGGTTTCCGTTTTGATATGGCCCCATACAACAGCCTTTATGGTTTTTTTGTAACGCCGGTATTCCGCTTTGTGGAACACGTTTAAATGCAGATACTTTTATAAAAAAGTTTCTTTTCTTTCTTTGCCCAAATGTGGAGGGTTTTAAGAAGAGGGTTCGGATTTAATGTTTTTTTTTACTTTTTTCAGAGACCCACAACGAAATTTGAAATACAATAATCCTCCCTTGGCACTTCTCTTCAAAAATAAAGTATAAAGGAGGATTTTGACTCGGATTGGATACGTATTAATTAACAGTAAAAAAAGCAAACACACAATTTTTCATTTTGAATTTTTGAATGACATTTTCATAAAAACTATAGAAGCTAGATATACGATTTATTCTGAGATTTATAGTGAAAATTTGTGTGGGATATTTCACCTTTTGACACCTTACGACTAAAACGAAATGTTATGTTAATTTCAGGTGTCAACTCAAAAATAATCCGAGGAAGATTTTATCAAAAAAATTACGGAATTTTTAGTTTTTTTTTTTTTTTTTTTTTTTGGAACATTGATGCACATTTTTCTGATATACAAAGGAAATAGAGAATTCTTTTCTTTACTGACTTATGGTCAAATTTTAAAATGATGTTTTGTTGGAGATTTTCGCACAAACTCACGAAAAGTACGGCTTTAAACCCTAAAATTTCTCCAAAATATATTAACATTCTAGTCGTTTAGGTAAGATTTAGACCCTTGTGGTGTACTTTATATTGCTACGAGCCCGTCAAATATTCCTATCATTTTAATATGCACTACACTTTATGCTGACACTACAGAGACTCCGAGGATTCTTAATCCGAAATTTTCCAAAGTATGGAGGTATATTAAGTGTGTCATTCCGTTTATAACATTTCGAAATATAAATTTCGTACCTCCTCCAGTTATCCTTTTTTATTTATTTATTTTTTATTTATTTATTTTTATTTTTTTTTTTTTTTGAGTATTTGTATCACACTTTTCACTGGAAATGTTTTCATTTTGGAATTTGAAGTTCCTAATGTGTACTACATCCTATGATAGATAATTGCTCAAGTAGGTCTTCGGATAGCCCCCGTAAAACAGTACCTCCATGTATTATGTATTTTGAAAATTTGCAAATTCCTTCCAAATGGTAATGGTTATTCAATGTTTGGCCTAGCCGAACTTTTTTAAACTGCTACATTATTTCCATCATTTAATATGTGACACATCATTTAATCATTTAGTACATTGATATTTAAAATAGTTAAGAGAAAACGTCTTCAAAAAAACAATGTTAAAGATATCTTCTATGTTTTGCGGATAAGATCAAGTTTCCGGCCTTTTGAATAGGATTTCCCCAGATTTCGTTCATTTTCTTTAACTTTAAAGAAACTGGAAAAGTACAGATTAATTTACTTTCAGTTTTCAAATCCAAATGGCCATCCCTACCGCTAGGTATGTCAGATTTTCTATTGTTTACCCAAGTCTAAACGTCTGTCGATCTAAGCATCACAATATTGTTTTCTTTTGTTTTCACTACTCAAAGCTATTTTTAATTTTTTTTTTTTTTTTTGTTAGGTATCAACAAATAGAGCCAATAATCATAATCAAGGTATACCCCCAAATACACAGTTGGTCAGCACGAGGCGCCTTTAAAAAAATCGATCTTATGTTTCATTTCAATTGATGTGTGAAAGAAATGTCGATGATTGTACTTTCTGTGATTGAATAATACTAGGTGTGTTTTTTATTTTTCATTTATATAATTTTTGTTATTTTTAGAAATAGATAATTGCTGATTATAAAATATGATTTTGGACTATGTACACCATTGAGATCATATTGTGCCCACAATTTTTGGGATAAGATGAGGTGGTGGGAAGAAGATCTTGGAATAAATTATGCGATTAAAAAATAACTCTACGACAGTTTATTAAATTTAAAAACTTAAATAAAAAAAAATTTGGGTTATACAGTGTGAGATGCACTGCAGCTGCAACTGCAACCAACTTCAGATTGTTGTCATTTCTAAACCACTCATCCGACAAATTATTCCAGTGACAGCTCATTATATTGCTTACAAGCGTACAAAAGCATTTTGGTGAGAATTTTCCAGAAAAAAAGTTATTCGTGATGGAATTCAAGCGTGATAGTGTGATTTCATTATATTTGGCTGGAAAACTAAAAGCGGCTACGTTAGAGCACTCCAGCATTTAAATGTGAATAAATCGTTTGTGTCTCGTATCATCGCTCGTTACCGTGATACTGGTAGCATAGCCCGACCTCAAGGAAGTGGACGGAAGAAAACAGCAACATCAGCAGAAATGGTTCAAAAATTAAAGAAGCGACTTCATCGAAATCCGCGTCGTCGTGGCCGAAAAATGACTAGTGTGCTGAACATGTCGCAATATTCAATTCGGTAAATATTGCAAAATGAGCTCGGGTAAAGCCATGGAAATTCCAAAAAGTGCAACAACTTACACCGCAACATAAAGAAAAT